GATGCTAGTGTGATGAGGTGGTAGTGATGGCTGTGAAGTGATGAATGAATAGATCTGTACCACCTGCTTGATATAACATTCGCAGAACGTCCTCGGACGGTCTTGTGTTCTGAGAGGGCCAGCATAGTAGAGCTCAGGGAAGACGCAGAGGCTGACAAGTGCCGAGGAGATCCGTCAGGGAGACTCTTGATGGGCGCTCCTGATCTCGAACGAGGCGAGGTCCGAGCGCGCCTCGTGTCATTGCGCAGGATCCGGCTGCTGATCATGAAGTATGTAGAGTATGCTATCATGCTTTGATGACTGTGTACTCGTTGCTGCATGTCTGGCGCAGTGCAACGTCCGAAAACGTGAAGTGTGGTGGTTCCCCTCGGATAGTGCATCAAAACTCAGCGCAGAGTTCTCGTGGATATGATATCGTACTGCAATCTGCTATAGCAGCGCAAGATCTGCATGCTGGCTGACAAGGTCCTGCATTGGATCTCGAAACGTTTATGACAACTGACATGCGAGCGAGTGGGCGGAACCGGTATATAAAGACAGTTCGCACGTCATGCCATGATTGCAGAGTCTGCGAGCACTCAGGCCTCGGATAGATGGAACAGCATTAGGGATAGGCGATGAGCAGACCGGGGCATTTGTAATAGTTAGGATATAGAGGACTGCCCCGCTGAGCTCAAAGAACGAGTGAGGTGGGTGGAAAGGTGCGGGGTGAGGATCGATGTGGATCGATGTGAGAAGCACTTTTCCAAATCATCTGCTATCGCTTTTACGCCCTTCAAAGTGCTAATACAGTCTTCTTAGAGCTACTTTCTTCAATTTTGCATAGCTTTGCATTATCTGTGACCCTCTCGTCATGCCCTGTAGTCATTGAAAAATGCCAGACATTGGGCCACTATATCCCGCACATCTCGCGCATCTGACCACCGGAAGATTTCTTCTGTGAGTCGAACCCAATTTGCTCTTCTCTTGTATAAAGAGCATTGAGGCCTCACAAACGTTCTTGAGCGATATGACGTAATATCAGCTTCAATCTTGAGCATCTAGATCTTCAAGCAGAGGAATGCTCGAGACAATGTTTGAGCAAGTGTACTAGAGTGCGCTCGCTGTTTGCTAGAACTGGCAATGGCTAGCAAGCTTCATCAAGCCTGACACACGCTTGCTGCTAGGATGAGAATCATTCACGGCCATGGAATGAGCGTTCTGCGATCACATATGCCAACTGCCAGACGAAGATGTGGCCAGGTCCTTTGCCCTTCGCTCGAGTCAGAACGTTACCACAGATCCAATGAAAGGAGAGTGATGAGCAGCAAGCTTTGGCATAGGTGATGCGCAGGTTGTTCGAGCAGTCAGAGTGCTCGTAAGCACGCCGACGGGTAATTGCAAGTGTGCGGACGCAACTATGCGCGCGCAAGTATGATGATTCGGACCTCGATATCGAAACGCCACTGGATCCCCAATGAGCCAGGTAGATCTCCCGGTCATGCTGCAAAGATACTTCGGTTCAATGTTGTGGGTGACTGCTGAGCTCTAATGCGAGAGCCGAGCGCTACAGGCCTACGTTATCTTGTAGCTCGGGGCCAACTCAGGGCGTAGGTTCGACGCGACAGCAGAACCCAGCGGTCCGGCGCCCAAGCCGATCTATCTCAACGAGCATCTCCTCTCGAGTCGCGATCGCCACTGCGTATCAAGTACATAGCGCTGACTTCAATATGAGAGCGTCATAAGGTAGCTCTGAACGGAAATGATTGCGCGGCATCGGAAGTAACGACCAAAACCGTTCGTTACACTATCTGTTTCTCAGCAATCTTGATCGTTCTCACGAGCCTCCTAAGCTACCACAAAGCCAGCCGGTATCCGTACGGATAGTATTGCAGCCCTCTTGAAGGAGGTGAGCGCATGATGACCCTACCGAGACGTATGGTATTCGACTGTGGTGTCACGACGAGACAGCACGCTGCCAGAACAGTCAGCCTGCGCGATATTCTGAATGAGCCTCAACGATCTTGTCTGATCGTGCAGAGACCGCGAGAGCAGTTTCGGTGAGACCATAGACTACGAGCATCATCAGAAGATGCCTTGCAAGTCACATCCGCTGGCCAGCAGCGAGAGATCATGGACTGCGTCGAGCAACTTTACAAACTGTTCAAAGGCGGATCACAGATGTCTGTACCGTCTGGATTCATTTCGATCAGAGTTACATGTCCGTAACGTGAGCATTGCGGATGAGGAGCCCTGTCAGAGGTAAGCTTGTGTCACACAAACTCGCCGCGCGAGAACGCCACCCATCACGATGGTAGGCATTACCTTCGACGGCACCACAGGCTTGGTTTCCGCGCAGATCTAGTCCGACTGCTTCTAAATGCTTGCATTGCATGCATCGGTAACTCATCTTTAATATGGAGGGCTCGAAACCCCCGTATGCGCCACTGGTCTGTCGTACGAGAGCTAAAGTTTGCACTTGTCCAAGGCGCAAGACCGATGTGATTGCGCCGGCTAGCTTGCATGTCCTCACACGTTCTGGTGTACCTCGCGTTGCGAGCAAGTCAGAGTGAATGGGCGCGTATAGGACCAGACTCTGGGCTTGCCGAAGCGTATTCTACGGAGCTGATCCGGGTCGCCTTATGATAGGCTGATCTGGACTGACGTATTGACGACTCTGCTGAACGACAGGATGCGAGCTCTGGCAATCGAATTCGTTATGCATCACACTGTTCAGTCCGTCTTGGCTGCGGGCCCAGCAACCTTTCGGAGCTCTGTCTTGCCTGTCGTTGGATCCTGCATCTCTTCCCAGCTGATAGCTACCAGAGGCTCGCCTGTGTCTTCAGCACTATCTCATCGGCCAAGATCAGCTGGCTGTGAGTAGCTTTTGGGCACCACATACGAAGCAGAGATGACGCCTAAGTCATTTCTTGCCGTAGAGAGATAATATGACCTCGCATCGCCAGGCGAAACCTACATAACTTTACGAGGTCAATTATCTGACCCTACTGAGGGCCAACCTTGAGTCACATACCACTTGTGCGCGAACAAGATCGCCTGGCCGGAAAGAGTGCCAGATCTTTAGCGTGTCCTTAGCGAGGAGCCGCACATCTTGCGGTCTGATGACACCTTGAATGTCTCGCACCGTCAAGCGAGATCCGACGACCTGAATGGCCAGCGTCGCCTGGGCGCGAGCTATGCGAGTGACAGTACCGATGACCTGCGGCCCGTCCAATAATTAGAGATTGTCTGGGTCGATTTTGGGGACCGACAATCTGTCCAACCTCCGGAAGCAGTGTTGCTTGAGCTTCTCTGCCAACAGACACAGTCTGCATATTTGTCTGAGCCGATCGAGCATGATGAGATCATCGTGCAGACCTTGCTATCATGTCGGACGGGTCCCGCGAGGGCGGAAATGACTTGACCGCCCCGTGTATAGGTGCCATCACCAGACTGAAGCTTTGTAGGTGCGCCCGTAAGCTGTTGGCCAGGCAGAGCAAATGCAGAGACTCTCGCCATGCTCTGGCAAGGTAATCGTCGTCGCGGACGCGTAGAGACAATCTCGGTCAAAAGTGACGTGGCAGTGGCTTCCATGCGCCAGCTTCGCTGATCTTTGGGTAGCTATCAAACATGGCGGCCAAGCGAGCACAGGTTGTCCCTGCGGGTGCGTATAGCTCTGCAGAGGTCGAGAGAGCTGTCAGCTGACCTTTTGGTGCTCTTCTCTCGTTCTCCCCATGCTCACTGTCGATGCTGCCTTACTCGTCACGCTCGATGGATTCGTTGCTCTGCATTGCTTCACTGCGCACTTGACTGTCCACAGAACTCGTCACAATCGCTGAAGATGGCGTGAAGCTCTTCGGCAGATGGGAGACCAATGATATCGAAGTCAAGGACATCTCTCTGACGGATTACATTCAAGTCAGACACGCCGTCTGGGTGCCTCACACTGCCGGCCGATGGAGCAAGAAGCAGTTCCGAAAGGGATCCATGCCCATTGTCGAACGAATGGTCGACTCTCTCATGATGAATGGTCGTAACAACGGCAAGAAGCAGATGGCCGTCCGCATCGTCGCTCACGCTTTTGAGATGTGCGTCCTCTCTTGCTTGCGGAACGACATGCGCTGATGTCCATTCACGGTAGCGTACATCTTCTGACCGACCAGAACCCCATCCAGGTCTACGTTGACGCCATCATCAACACTGGACCTCGTGAGGACTCGACCCGAATTGGCTCTCAAGGCACTGTGAGACGTCAGGCTGTCGATGTCTCGCCATTGCGAAGAGTCAACCAAGCTGTTGCACTGCTCACCATCGGCGTCCGAGAATCCAGCTTCCGTAACGTCAAGTCGATTGCCGAGTGCCTTGCGGATGAGCTCATCAACGCCGCCAAGGGTTCCTCCAATTCTTACGCGATCAAGAAGAAGGATGAACTGGGTCAGTCTGCCAACTGAACTTCTCAGATGCCCTACTGACTCGTCTGGTCACTGACAGAGCGAGTCGCCAAGTCCAACAGATAGACGACCACTGGGTGCTGATTGTACTTTTTGCTGCATCCTTGTGCTCGCAACTTGGTGGGGGCTGCACTATACATGTCAACAACATTGAGAACGTTTGCAAATATCTATTCTGCTTCCACTAGCGACACTATCTTTGTGCAGATCTCCTTGAAGATCTTATATGTCGGCGTCTTGACATATCGGTCTAGCAGAGTCTCTGCGGGCAACAGCCCATCGACGACCTGTTGCTTGCGCGCAGCAGTGTCCATAAGCACGACAAATTCTGTATCTATGGGTAATCGACCGAGAAAGCGACAGCCTTCGCCCTGGCCGGCCATCCGCTTCTCTTCTTCTATCCTGCAAAAGTCCTCGCCACCGCCCTTGCCAAAGACGGGCGTGATGTCGCCGCAATGAGGGCAGACGTAGCCAGACATGTTCTCGATGAGTCCGAGCACAGGCAGGCTCGTTCTGCGTGCAAACGAGAGCTCTTTAGACACGTCCGAGAGCGATACAGCCTGAGGTGTTGTGACGAGCAGAGAGTCTAATGTCGGCAAGGCGATGCTCTCTACGGCAGGCATAAGCAAGGGCCTTAGCTGCTCGAGGAGGGATATGTGCTCGTCAGACGTGCCTGCTCTGCATTTAGCCGGGCAAGGTGAGCAGACCGATGAGGGAGCGCACCCGGCGGTGTGTCGATGATAAGCCAATCCAGTTCACCCCACCTGACGTCTCCCAGGAATTGCCTGATCATGGCCGTCTTCTTTGGGCCACGCCAGACGACGCTCTCCTGACTGTTGCTGAGGAGGAAGCCGATGCTCATGCACTTGAGTACGCCTCTTTCTTCATCTGCTGACGCATCCTCTTTCTTCGGCGCATAGAGGTGCACTGGCACCCATCCCTCGCGCGATTGATGCACGTCCTGGCCTTCCATGCCCATCATGCGAGGAACCGATGGGCCAGTGAGATCGATATCAAGCAAGCCGATGCGTGCGCCGGGCTGGGAGCTGAGTAACGTCAAGGCGAGCTGCACGGCGACTGACGATTTCCCTACGCCGCCCTTGCCGGAGAGGACGAGCAGGACATGCTTGATGCTGCTGAGCCTACCCATCAGTCGCTTCGTCTGGGCGTCCGACATTGACGCCATGACGTCGCACGATCGCAGGTTGACTTGCGACACCGCGAGGAACGCGACGATGTCAAAAAGCCAACATGGGCTGCTTCCAAGATGGCGTCTAGTCCGACGCTGACCAACAAAGGCGCACCCCTCATGTCCTCTAGATCTCAGTAGCTGTCTCTATCCCTCCAGCAAACATGAAGGGCGCAATCCTATCCTGGTGCGCTATCGCTACTTTGACAGCCGCCGCACCATCAGCAAGGCCAAACATCATTTCTTTCAGCAGTTCGGCCCTGGCAGCGGCCGTCATCGATGGATCAACGGCTATCGAGAGTGCTGCCGAGGCACTTCTTGGAGATCCGCAAGGATCAAAAGCTGTCTCGACATCTCTCTCAGCGGCAATACATCTTGCCACTCCATACGGCAATGTGACAGGCATCAAAGACGGCCCTGCATACCGATATGTGTTGCCCTATGCAAAACCTCCTGTGGGTAGCTTGCGTCTTGCTGATCCTGTCGCCTTACCCAACGGTACTGCAATGTACGCGCTTTTGCTGCCCATCCAAAGTCATGCTGACGATGTGGTGCAGCCTGAACGGACAGAAGACGCCAGCTGCTTGCTTACAAGCCGGCATTGCATCCTCATCGGAAGACTGTCTTTATGCCTCGCTCTATGTACCCTCAAGCGGCTCACTCGCAGCACTCCCCGTCTTTGTCTGGCTCGAAGGTGGCTCCTTCGTTAGTGGGAGCGAGACCGCAGCCGGTCTGGATGGTGCAACGCTCGCGGTCAATGGCAACATGATCGTTGTCGTGCTTCAGTACCGTCTGGGCATTCTTGGCTTCTATCGAGCGCCATCGCTCGGTTTGTCGGGCAATTATGCGGTGAAGGACGTCAGGCTTGCGCTACAGGTCATCAACAATCTCAAGGCCTTCTGGCACAATTCGGCAAAGGTCACGCTAGCAGGCCAATCATCGGGCGCGCAGCTCATCAAGACACTCCTCACCGTGCCCACCGCCGATGCGCTCTTCTCGCAAGCGATACTTCAATCTCCGCCCGCAGCATATGGCGATCAATCTGCCGCTACTGGAGCGAAGCTGGCCGGCTACATCGATCAAGTAAGCGGATGCTCGACCGTCGCCTGCTATCGTGCCATGTCTCCCACGCACATCGTCAATGCAACAACAAACGTCTACGAGCAAGCATCACAACATATCGCCAATATATCACCTGCCGAGCCGATCAGACCAATCATAGACGGCTCGCTCGTCGTTCGCAGCTTTGATTCTGCAGTCAATCGAAAACTCTTCACTCGTACTGATCGCTCTCTCATCTGGACGTCTGTACGCGAAGAGGCTGCTCCCGAGATCTACACGGCGATTGGGACTTCCCCAGTACCCTCGAGCTACTTTCCCAGCATCGTTCAAGGCCTTGCTCCTCTGCAGCAGAAAGCTGTTCTCGCATCCGGGCTGTATTCTGTCAACGAAAGCGATACTGACGGGACACGTAACGAGCTCACGCTTCTCGGTACTGATTACATCTGGCGCTGTCCGATCCAGCAATACGCTGTCAATATGACGCGGCAGATTCCGTCAATCTATCTCGCACAGTTCAATCAGGGTATTGCATATCCAGATAATCAAGTGAGTCGAACACTTCGCCGCAGATTCTGAGCTGACTGACTCGATCAGGCAATACCCTACTGCGCCGGCAAGGTCTGCCATGAAGACGACATCTTTTTCACTTTCGACGACGGCGCATCACTCAACAAGACGCAAGCGGCAATCTCGAGGGAGATTACGGCCCGGTACTCAGCCTACGCCCATACTGGCAGTCCGAACGCTGCAGGCTATGTGACTTGGTCACCTGTCGCCACAGCAACGAGGCTCAATCTGTTACAAATAGACTCAATCAGTACAGTCATGCAGACGCAAAGGTCCCCACAGTGTGGACCCAACGCGCTCTGGGGTAGGCTAGCTCGCTTCGATGCTCAGATTGCCTCTTGACACAAAATCTACATTCGCAAGTTCGGCTAGCAACAACAGGAAATATGTCGTATCACCACTGTAGCTAGAATCTATCAAGTTCCGCCCCAGAGGAAGCTCATTCGCTTCGAGCTCTTCGGTCTCAATATGGGCGCCTGCTGAGCAGAACCGCTATCGTCGGCAGCTGCTGACAAGAAAGTGGGCAAGGATCCCGAGTCAGATATCGAGGTATCTGCGCTCTCTGTTGGCAGACTAGAGGTTGTAGAGCCTGGCGTTGTAGCCTGCGAGAAGGCTGCAGAGATGTCACCAGCATCCGCCGCAGTAGCGCCAGGCTGCGGCGAAATGGCAGGCGCAATGCCGAGCCCGCTAAGACGTGTTTGCGATGATCCGCTGATCGACCCGCTCGCGGATGAGTGATGACTGAAGCGAGGCTGCATGGCCTCATTGGCTTGTCGCTGCGCATCGATTGACATCGGCGACGCGATTTGGGCTGACGATTTGCGACGATGATGACCGCGGCTGCCAATATCGACGACAGAAGAGATAGAGGGCTCTTTGCTTGCTGTATGCAGTATTGGACTGCCGTGCTCTTCTATGCCCATCAAACGCATCTCTGCTTCCAGACGCTCGCGCTCTCGCTGATCCTCTTCGTCTTCTTCCTCTGGACCGGTTCTCTGTAAGACTGAAGCTTCGGGAATCGGGGTAGACGCGAGAGAAGATGAAGCAGCTGCGCCGAGCAGCATGGGCCTAAAACCAGCGGGAGGCGATGTGACTTGCTGTTTGGTCTTGCTGTCGCTACCGCCCATGATGCTCGTCAAAGAGCGCCAGTCGAGAGACATTCCCTTTGCGGCTCTTGTCTCGGACGGCGTAGGAGGCGGCAGCATCGGCAGAGGGGGGCTGTTCCCTGCTTGACTGCGCAGCGCATTGGCTTCACGTCGTGTCCTTTCGACATTAGGACTGCGTGGAAGTACAGATCCGGTCGCGGTGGCTTGCTGACGCGTGAAAATGGCAGCCTTGCCATCGGTCACAGGCGTACGGCGCTGCGACGGGGCTCTCGAGAGTGCAGGACTATAGTCTGCAGCTAGCACCTTCTCGAATCCTTCGTGAGCGATAATGCGTTCGACAATCTTGTTCACATATAGCGACAGCGCTTTGTTCGCCTCTTTCAGCTGTCTTATCTCTGCACGGGCTGCTGCGTGCGAGGTTCAGCAAGTGATCAATTACATGTCGAGAACAGCTCACCGTCGGTCTCTGCATTGGCTTCGCTGGCGTCACTGACGACTCGCAGGCGGGACTGCGCCGTTCGGGACGGCTCCAAGAAAGTGGCTTTGCTGAGTTCTGCGCCGAGATCTACGGCACTCTGGCCTTGCAAGCTTGAATCCGACAGCCGACGATCAGTGGTAGGTGAGGACACGCTCGAGCGAGGCGTCGACATAGAGTCCCAATCTCGGGTAAAGACAGGCTGTTGCAAGATCTCGCCAGTCATCGTGCGTTCCCTTAGCAAGACTTCATACGACTCGTTCTCTTGCATAAGATTCGCGTTCAGACGTCTGATCTCGTCCAGCTCGGCCAAGGTGTGTTCATGCTCGGCGATGGAAGCCGAATGCTTCTCTTGCAGAACATCGTGCTGTGACTGAAGGCTCGCCAGCTGGTTCAGCGCCTCTCGGCGCAAGCTGGGCGAGTCTTCGCCGCTTTGGCCAGGTCCTGTTGTCAACGTAGGGGTCTTGAGGCCTTTACAATCCGATTGGACCGTCGACTCGGCCAAGGAGGTTTCTGCCTGCTTCAGACGTATTTGCAGCTGGACAATTTCTGTCTCGAAGCGCGCGATCTCCGCTGCCAACGTAGACTTTTCGGCCGTCCACTGCTCTCTCTCCGCCTGCAACTCGAGCTGCTGTGATTCGACGGCTTTATGTAGGCCCTGACGCTGCTTCTCTGCTGCTTCTAGCTTGGAGATCAGAGCAGTGTTGGCCTCTAGTTGGGCAGAGAGCTCCGCTTCGAGACGCTCGGCTTGCGCAAGTGAGTCATCCGTCCTCTGTGATTGCTGTGTCAGCTGTTGGCGCAGTTCATCGAGCTGATCAGAGTGCTCTTGTATTCGCTGCTTAGCTTGCTCGAGTTCGTTGAGAGTCTGTAATGGGCACATAAGACCGAGCTGGCTAGGCAAGGGGCGCACGGACCTCTTCGGCAACCTTCGAATGACGACGGACCGATTCGAGCAGAGAGGCTCTGTCGAGTCTCGAGTACTCATCGTTGGCCTGGTCATCGTCATCTACATGCGACACGACATTATCTGCTGTCTGCTGCGTGGCAGATGCAAATGACTGCGCTGACGATCTGTGGGAAAGGGCTGGCTCTATCTCGCTGGCAGACTCCTGCGGCTGCAGGCTCGGCACCTGTTCTACGTCTGCGGCAGGGGGCGGCTTTCGCTTGACGGGGCTCGACGGCGCGCGCGTACTCGTTCGTGTCGGTGAGGGAGCGGCATTGCTGATCGCGGTAACGCCATTCAGCTTGCGTGCAGCAAGATTGGCAGCCGTTCTCTGCGCTCCTGGCGAGCTTGTCGTTGCGGTAGCATTGGGCGATAGGCTTGGCTTTGTGCCGGGGCCGTTGAAGCTGCTTTGTCGCGACGGTGTGGCTCGGGGAGGCGTGCTAGCAGCTGGCGCAGCCTCGCCCTGTGCAGATGCACTAGTCCGTCTGATGCCTGAACTGGGCCGCGCAGCTGAACGAGCAGGCATGACGGGTGCCTGAGCATCAGCTGCCGCCTTTGCCGCCATCACGTCGTTGTGTCACGTCGCTATGCGCAATCGTCACGGCAACGCGCTCCGACGCAGATTGACGCGCTCAAGCAGCTTTGCATGCCGAAATTGACTAGCTGGGCATCAATCGTGCCTAGCAAGCTGCTCGCGGCGCGCTGTCAGGGGGCATTGGGTTGATTTTCACGTCTACCAGAGTCGTGATGTTGATTAGATAATTGCCTTTGCCGTCCAGGCGCGTGCTTGCGTCCGCGCGCCATTTCTCCCAAAACGCCTTTTCCGTCAGCGTATTGGCGCACGGTCGGAGGTCGAGTCAAACTTCGCTACACGCCGGAAAGCGTCTAATCAGCGTGCTTGCGGCGAAAAGCGAGGCTCTCGAATGCAAATGATGTGATCGAGAAGAGCGAGCCCGGCCCTTGCTGGCCATGTGCGCTCGGCTCATTGAACGCTACCGCGACAAATGAGTGCCTCCTGTGACGCAGTCCGCTGATAGCCTTCGTCTTATAGCGCCTGCTCAACTTCTCGGCTACGCTGTCGTACTCTGACGGCAAGATGTCAGGCATTGCCAGACGGCGATCATCTGCCTATGCGCTGCTGACGGCTCTACTGCTATCGTCTGCTAGCTTTCACGACATACTAGATTGTGGCGTCAGCAGTGTCGGCGCTCGTCCGGCTTCCGAGCGGCCAGTCTTTGTGCCAGAGCCGGGCCCATCGCCAGCAGAAGCCAAGGACTATCTAGAGAACCTCGGCGTCGACACGAGCAGCGCAGCAAAGAGTCATGAAGATCTCTCGCTTGATATCTCCAACACGACCAAGCACATGTACAGCCTGGCCGCCCTACCGTGCCTGCCATCGACCGCCAACGACGTCACGATCAATGCACTCTTTGCGGCAGGCGGGCCTGGCTACACCGTCTCGCTGTGCCCGAACACGGTCTACACAATCACCAGCTACATCATCTTCACCGCACATGGTCAGGAGCTGTCGACGCAAGGCTATCCCACCGGTAGCAGCCGCGCACTCATCAATGTCATGGGATCAGGTCAAGCGACCGCCATCTATGGCGCATGCGGTGATTGCAATTTCATCAAAATGCGCAACATCCAGATCAACGGCAATCGACCGCTGCTAGGCAGACTCACCGAGAATGGCTGGGGACTGATGGAGATCGGTGGCCCAACCAATGGTCAGGTCGTCGACAATGTGCATGCTTATGAACCTCGTGGCTGGACGGCCATGCATATCACTGGTAAGCTACGATCTTGCCCCGAGAAACCTCTCACTCACAACGTGTTTAGAGGGCTACGGCAACTCGTGCACCAATGCAACGGTGTCCAACGGACAGTTTGGACCTTCCGGCACTGCGCCCAACACGGCGCGTCAATTCTATGCCTCGCTGAAGAAGCTGCACCAATTCTTCCTCACTCCACCGCGCCAGCTAGCCAAACGAGACTATTCGGCGCCCGGCGAATGGGCAGATGGCATCAGCATCTCCTGCGCGTCTACGACGATCATCAACAACGTCATCACGAACCCGACAGACGGCGGGATCGTGCTCTTTGGGTGCCCCAACTCGTACGTCGCTGGCAACACTGTCATAGCGGAGGACAGAACCCTGCTCGGCGGCATCAACATGGTCGATTTCTATCCCTGGAACGGCAACTTTTCCGGTCTCATCGTTGAAAAGAATAATATCGTCTCTGCTGGCTCGATGATTAAAGTCGGCATCGCAATGGGTACCCTCGTCTGGGGCAGTATCAACTCGACTCAATTCCAGAACAGCGGTGGCACCGTACGCTACAACACGCTGAGCAGCTCCGGACAGTACGGCTACATCGGATTTGGCATCGCAACGGCAGGTCATCTGAATGCCGCTACATACGGTAACACCTTTTCGGCTGCAGCGTGGAATGGAATACCTTCGCAAGCTTGTGTTGGCCAATTTCTGCCGCCGCGTCCAAAGGCGCTTACCTATGATCCGTACACTACTAGTGGCAGCTTTCAGACTGGCTCGTCCCAAGATACGCTCATGTTTCTGATCTGCATGATGCCTTATCAATACGATCCGAGCTATGTGCCGCCTAGCACCACTTCGACCTCGACCTCATCTACGTCCACATTGTCCAGCAGCAGTTCGATCGTCTTAGCGGCCGTGACGACGAAGTCTGCGCTACCAAGCACAACGACGACGGTCACCGTCAGAATAGCGACGAGCACAAAGAAGGCGGCTATCCCAAAGGCGACTAAGAAGAAGAAAGTCAAGAACCCGATGGGCAAAGCGTCCAAAGTCATAGCGATGCGTGAAGCTCTTTCGAGGTTCAAAATTTTCTCAGTGGCGGGTGAGGACACCGAGTTCGATTTAGAGGAGTGGGACGTTCCATTCGCGGCTAGAACGGGCACACCCATGTTTGTTGATCACGTCTCGCGAGGCTTTGACAAGCGAGATATGCTTAGCGATTTCCTGTAGATGTCTCACTGTATGTAATGCAAATAATCGAAGATTGCCATACTGCAGTGCTCCCGTCTGAGCTTCGCATCCTGCAATCACATTGTCGATACAAGAAGGGTTTACAGCATGAACGTTAGCGGGTTCTCGAGCGCAGTCGAGAAAGCTTTCATCCTGTACGACCTCTTGAGCGCGGTCTACCAGGCTAGCCGCAGCAGGTACGTACCATCGGGCACCAACGGCACCGTCTACGACACGATGATCACAGCTCAACGTGACCTTGATCACGTTTATCGCCTTGAAGCCTTTTTCGCTCGAGGGATCAAGGACAAGCTTCTGCTCGGTCGCGCCGATGGCAAGGATGCACGACTGTGGCGGGTTGATGATGGCTGTGAAGTGAGAGATGCCGAGCATGCCCAAATTTGAGACTGTAAAGGATCCGCCTTGGTATTCATGAGACTGGAGCTTGCCATCTCTCGCCCGGGCTGCAAGTGCTTTTGCTTCTGCTGAGATACTTGCTAATCCTTTGCTGCCCACGTCTTTTACAATGGGGGTGATGAGTCCCGTCGGTGTTGCGACAGCCATGGAAATGTCAGCCTTGTGATACTGTCGCACGAAGTCGCCATGCCAGCCTGCATTGGCCTCCGGAACGTCTTGGAGCGCAATCGAAGCCGCCTTGAGGACGAAATCGTTGACAGATAGCTTCGTGCCGGCTTTGACGCCGTCAGAGGGGCTCTTCTCGCTAGCAGATTGCGAGGCCTTGTTGAAGACTTCGCGCAGCTTGAGCAAGCGATCTGCGTTGATCTCTGCGGTGAGATAATAATGCGGCGTATCTCGCTTTGACTCTGTCAGGCGGTTCGCAATCGTTCTGCGCATGCCAGATACGGGTGTATCGGTGTAAGCTGGCAAGGCACCTGCGTCTGCTTTGGCACCAATCTGTTGTGTCGGTACTGCTGGCGAGGGACCAGATGAAGCGACGGGCCCGTCAGACTTGTAGCCCTCGACATCGCTCACGACGATGATCGAATTCGGCCCGGTACCTTTGACTTTGCTGAGCGGTACGCCCTTGTCAAGTGCGAGTCGTTTGGCGGCAGGGGTGGCATAGATCGACGAACGCGGCACAGAGGGCTCCTTTTGCTTTGTCTCTGTCGACTTGTCCTGCTTCTTGCTCGACTTTGTGTCCGGCTCCGCGTCATCCTTTGGCTTCTCCTTTTGCTCGGCAGGCGCCTCTTCCTTCTTTGGGGCTTCATCCTCTTTGCTCTCTTGCTTGGGCTCTTCTTTCTTCGGTTCTTCGCTCTCGGCTTCAGACGCGAGCTTGTCGACTTTGTCTTGCTCGATATCGTCGGCGTCCTCTGCCATGACTGCGATCACCTTGCCTACTTGGACAGCCTTTGAACCGTCTCCGACGACAATCTTGGCTACGACGCCTTCGTCCTGTGCCTCGACATCCATGGTAGCCTTGTCAGTCTCCTAGAATGAACGCCTTGAGCATGCGGCAGCTGCAGAGAGGGACAAGTCCTCACAATCTCTAGCAGAACGTCGCCAGGCGCAAACGATTCGCCTTCCTTCTTCTTCCAGGAGGCGATGCCGCCTTCCGTCATAGTGGGCGACATAGCCGGCATGGTGAACTTGCTCAGGGCGTCGCATCTGCTTGTCGTGTGTAGCGTGCCTGTGGGAGCCCCAGATGAGTGAGATAGCGAGCGCTAGAGGGGCTTCTCGACTGACGAGCTGATGGTGACGGCCCCTTCAGTCGAGATTGCGTACTAGAGCGCCATACCGAGCTCGGAGCTGGTCGAGCATGTGCAGAGCTGCACGACAGGCCTCGTTGACTGCAAAGAGCCGTCGTAGACGAGAGTGGACCTGCCGAGCTGGCAACGCCACAGACGGCTCGCAAGCGGGATGATGACGCTCGCGGTGGCCTCGCAGCATGTCGTGCGCTCACGCCGAGCATGATTCCTCGACTTGTCGCTCGCTCGAGACAGAAGTACGGAGGCCAATGCGACACCCCACCACGCAAAAGGTTGGGCGACGGAAAACATTTGACGACATAGGCGCACAGGGCAGGCAAATTCATGACAAAAGGCTTTCGATTCATTTGCATTTGCAGCTACGGCCGCGCGAGCGAAGCAGCGATAGCGATGAGAGGGCGCGAGCAAGTTGCGGCACAGAAAGTGCTCGCGGCAAGCTCAAGCGGATGAGGAAGGGTACCGCGCGCGGTAGCATCATCATCTGACTGATACCGGCGGCTCTTGCCATGGTACCTGGCCCCAAACGAAAGCAGGCGCTTTGTATGCTGCCAGCACTGTTGGCGGTAGGTCTGATTCAAGCGGCGCCCATGGTGCATAAGGATCTTGATGACTGCCAAAGGGCATATCTGGCCGTGGCGCATTGGCTGGCTTTGTGGCAGGTGCTGCCATGGGAGGGTTGCCATCCGCATGTGCAGCTTGCACCGGCGCGGCTTGTGGTTTTCCAGGAGCGACAGAATCAGCCTGGGCACTGCTCGCGCCGCCAAAAGCAGATGCACCAAAGGCCGGCGCTGTCAAAGGTTTCGCAGGCGTCGCAAAGGCAGTCGGAGTCGATTGCCCGCCGAATGCAGGCACCGAGAAAGCGGATGAAGCTTGCTGCGAGCCTGCAAATCCGCCGAAGCCAGCGGCGGGTGTCGTCGTGCTACCGAATGCTTGCGCTGGGGTGACAGGCGCTATGCCGAAGGCAGGTGCTGCGCCAATTGCCGATGCCGCAGACGCATTTTGGGGTGCAAATGCGGATGCTACAGGTCGAGGGGTGGAGAACGCACCAAATGCGCTACCAGCTGTCGGCGCAGGAATGCTGCCGAATGCACTCTGGCCGAATGCAGGTGCTGGACTTGCAGATCCGAAAGCACTTTGGCCAAATGCAGGCGCGGCCGCCGACGGGGCTCCAAAATTAGCAGTAGCAGTTTGAGTGGCACCAAAACCAGTCTGTCCGAATGCGCCGGGATGGCTCGACGTGCTGCCGAAAGCGGTGGGTGTTGCGCCAAATGCGCTTGGCTGACTCGCTGCATTGCCGAAGCCCGTTGGCCGACCAAAAGCAGTGGCGGGCGCTGTATTGAATGCGCTAGTGGGCGATGCACCAAATCCGCCTGAGGTAGGCTGACTTGGGCGAGTTGACGCGAGCGACTCGTTTGCTTTTTGGGCGACTGCGTCGGTGTTCGCTAGGACTTGCTTGGTGAGCGTATCAGCTTGTTGTATCAGAGCTGCCTCTCTCTGCTCGACTGCGATCAGTGCTGACGGCGATGAAGGAGATGGACGCTAGCGTACGATCAAGTGAGGAGCGTTCTGCGCGCGAGCTTGGTAGAACTCGAGCCTGATCTCTTCGGGCGAGTGCTCGACGTCGCTAATGAGAGTGGGTGCATGCTTTGTGGGCCCATAGGCAGAGAGAGGCCAGAGAGGCTTCTCTGAACTCCAGTCGGTCCGTATGGCAGCAGGGCTGTCCCGGATGACCGTCAGCAGAGACTGAGGCAAGGCAAGTGATGAGAGCTTACTCGACGGTGCCAGTCGCTGCAGCACCAGTCGCGGCACTCGAACGGATGTGCTGGCTGCGACGAGCCGGCATGAGCTCAGTCGATTTGCGGCTTGAAGAGGACAGACTTGATGCATCTCGTGCCGAACTTGCAGCCTCGAGGGGTGTTGAAGAAGGCACAGCTGCACGACATGCTGTCAGACGATGTACCGCAAGCCTGCGCACACCCACTCACACTGGCATGACGCCTGCCGCACGCGAGACGAGCAAGCCGAGCGGCCCCGTCCGCTTCAAGAGACGCCCAAACCTTTTCGCGTGACGACGACGACGAGGAGGAGGACTTGGACTTTGTTTTTTCGTGTCTCAGCGGTTTCCCTGACGAGGTCTGGGGCGGAGTGGCAAGAGGTGGCAGAGTGGGCATACCCACCTGCGCCTCGCTAGAGCCACCGTTAGCTCCTGTCTGAGCGCCTCCGCAGCCTGCTGATCGTCAAGTTCAGACACCAGCATCTGCCGCCACTCCGGTGACAACGTGCACGAGCAAACAGATTGACCAGTCCGGTCTCACGAGTCTACACAGATTGAACCTCGACGGACGCTGCTGTGACCGCTCTCAACATCCACTCCCAGGTTGGGCGACGTACTCGCTGCGTGGACTCGGCGCACACAGCAAAGCACCGCTTGCGAGCCGCGCGCGCGACGACATGGACCCGGCCGGCCACAGCCAGATGGCAAGCAGCAGCGCATCTACTTCGTCAGGGAGCTCGACAGCGGCAGACCATGCCCCACACGGCAGAGCGCAGGAGATGCCGCTGCACACCGCCAAGTCGACAGGCTCGAGCTTACACTCTGCCTCGTCACAAAAGCGCAAGGAACGCCAAGCGCATCGAAGTGACCCACACAAGAAGGAGGGCAAGACGTATACATCCGTCACACCCACACAATCTGGTGCCCCCCGAAGCAAGGTCTCCGTCAGGCCCGCCTTTGCGCTCCGCGATAGATTCGATATACCCGATCTGCCGTCTGGCTCGAGTAGCTCCCAGCTTCAGGCCAAGCATGACGATCAACCTCTAGGCAAACGATTCGTGCACGTCCAGCATGACGGCCCGCCCTCTCGGACGACGGAGCCAAGACAGCCATTGAAATCATACGATCCCAATGAGACTCATAGAGGTAACGAGCCTGACGACGCCGACGCGACAGTGTCCAAACAGGGTCGTCAAGATACACACGGTCCAGATGAGGATGACGAGGAGGAAGAAGCAGAGCCAGAGCAGGGATGGTTCTCTTTCACACTGCCCACACGGATACAGAAGCGTGCAGAGTCTTACTGGCGCAATTCCGCCATGACTCGCATGCAGTCCTCGACAGGCTCCGTCTTCAGCGGCAGAGAAGGACGGCGGCGGCACGACAGTGCTGCACTGGGTATGACCCCGACCGGTGACATTGAAAAGTCATCCAGTCGGCATAGCGATCGCTCTCATCCACAGCGGCCGGGAGCCGGCAAGCGATCGACGGGCTCACACTTTGCTACAATGTGGAGCGCGCACCAGGCTACAGTGCGCATGCTAGCAGATGCTCGTTGAGCGAGGACTGATCAGGCAATGCAGACGCCTGGCTGGTCAAAGCCCTGGGAGCCCTTCCAACGGCACGAACAGACTCAAGATCCCTTTGATGCAGCGATGAAGAGTGCGACGGATCACGATCCAGATCGTGGCCCATCGAGCAGAAACAACAACCTGAGATGGCAAAACTTCATCCTCTACAATCCCTTCGCGCCCCTCATCATCCGTTTCGTCAACCTCAGTTTCACTTCCACCGTCCTCGCCGTCGCCGTGCGTACTCAGGTCGTCGAGAGGCACAACAATCTCATCGGCGTCCTCGGCTCCTCGATCCTGGTCGGCATCATCATTTGTCCCATCACGATCGTGCATATCTTTATCAGCGTATACGTGAGTGGCCCGCCTTCTCTGCTCCTTCGTCCGGCTGATCATGAGCTCGTAGCTCGAGTACTTTGGCAAGCCCATCGGTCTGTGGCGTGTCAGGCTAAAGATGACATTCTCGCTCGTCGAGCTCGTCTTCATCGCACTCTGGGCTGCCGAACTGGCGCTCTGCATTGATAGCTATATCTCGACGCCGCTCTACTGCACGTCATATCTACCTTATGCTCGCTTTCAGCCGCGTGTCGGCGATGCCGCCATCTCGGGTACCGCTGCGGACGTGCTTTGCAAGATGCAAGGCGCGCTCATCGCTCTCGTCTTGATCAGCTTGCTTCTCTACTGTGGCGTGCTCGTCATCACGCTCTACCGTATCGTCAACATGGTCGCCCGCAAAAGTCGATCAGGCGCATTTTAGAACTTTGTTGACTAGAGACTGTCTGTCGTATGTGAAATTGTCGCACGTGTATGCATCATCTCACATGTCTTTGACTACGTAAGCTCTTTGCTCGGCTCGTATTCGAAAGCGTCTTCGTCGGATCGATTCCAGAGTCGACACCACTCGAGGAGTAGCCGCCAATGAAACGCGATCATGTCCTCTGCTCGCCACTGCTTTCTTGCGTGAGTCAACGGCGAGGGAGAATCGAGCTAGCGCACGTGATTGAGTGCCCATTCCTTGCCATTTTGGCCAATTCGCTCAGCCAGATGATCGTTCGCGCCTCCTTCGTCCCAGCCGCGGAAGAACATCATGATGTCAATCAAATCCCGGTAATCTGTTGAGACAGGAATGTAGCTTTCCAGCCGGGTCAGCGTGTCGAGATGAAAATGAACGCATGCACACTCACTGGACCCATGGAACGATGCGTTCCTGCCACCACTGTGGGAACGTCGAGGCCTTCAATATAGCGCTGCTGCTCGTCATCAGGGTGTAAAAACGTCCGCTCCATCCATTGCCGTCAATGTCGAGAATGTACTTGTGCTTGAAAGCGTCCGAGCGAGGGGCGCTTTCCTGAAAGTCGAATGTCTGCGCGAGCTCTTGACAGATGTGCTCGTCGCATTGTATCGGCTCGCCTATCACGGCGAAGCTAAACAGGGCTTGCGAGACCCGCTCAAGCGATACTCGTACGAACGTCGTGCCACCACTGATGGTCTCAGCTAGCATCGTATGAAAGACGCCCTGGTCGGGTTTCGTGAACAGGTGAAGAAGACGGTAACGCGGAGAACCGCGCCAGCTCTTGACGGGAAGAGAATCTCTAAATGCTGCGCCCGTCAAGGATCCTCGCCAATAGAGCGTCGAGAATGGCTTCTTTGACCAAGGCACGGTCTCTTCTTCTGTGACTGGGCCTCGCGTCCTGGGGGCTAGCCCGAGATCTGTCCGATGAGTCGTTCGTGACCAGACGAACATGGGCTCGATACGCTGCAGCATGGAGCCGCGCGTATTGGCAGGATGGTGCCAGTAGACCTCTGGCGCTGAGCAAGCATCGGCTGACCTCGCTGCATCGTAAATGAAGCCATCTGAGTCTGGCAAGACAGGGTCGATCTCGTCCTCTCGAAAGCTCGGCAGCTTGTATGCAGCATGCATGGGCGAGCCCGACGGACATATATCCAGAAACGGATGATCAACGGAGTTCTTATCTGGAATGTATCCGTCAGTGTCACCAGACGCGTCAGGTATGTCTGCGGAAGAGAAGAGATCAGCGCATATCGCGAATACACACGCTCGACCGACATCTTCCTGCGCGCGTGAGGCGACGTAGATACTCCAGATGATCGTTGCTGACACTTGCGAACCCGCTATCGTCATAACTTACTGTAAAGTTGAAGCTGGCTGGCATGAGATGTGCAACCTCTCGCAGGGGCCCTAACGCGTCGCCTAAGCGGTCATTCGAATTATCAAACGCAAATTGCCGAGACTTGTCTTGCGCCGCAGGATCGACCATGACGGTACGGCTCCAGCTTTTTTGACTCTCATGGAGAGATGAGGTGCGTCGACGGATCACACTAGCCGGCAGGGCATAGAAAGGCTCCACGTCGTGGTGAATGTGATCGTACTCGTCCACTAGAACGACGTTGTTCCTGTTGGCATAGTCCCACCACTTGTCGAATCCACGAGGGGGATTTCGTCCGTATCGACGCCTGTACTCGCGTACCGCTTCGTCCAGTGTGGTCGACTGCTTGTCCAGCAGGGTCTGCCATTTTCGTTCTCCTGTTTCGATGAGCTGATGGATGGGATGTGCATCTGCTTGCCCAACTCGCGCAGCGTCGAGAAATACTCGGCCACGAAGCGTGTCGAGTGTGAGGCTGGCGGCCTTGAGCGAGCGCTCTTGCTCTGTCAATATTCGTCGTGTCGCAGGATCGTAGTTGGGCCCAAAGCTCGCGAGCGTTGTCGTATTCTGCGATCCTTGCTGCCATTGGAGAACCTGCTGAGCGACGGAAGCGTGTGCGTCTGATCGAGATGAAGACGCAAAGAGGGCAGTATCAGCTGCCGTAAAGATAATCAAGACGATGGCGGCAGCTGCAGGCAGCAGCCTGAAGTCGTGCGCACGCTGCGCCATAGGGCCGGCTGAGAGGCCCATGGCACGACTCGCGGGTTCGAATGAGCCAGAGCACAGACATTCTCGCAGAATTCGACTTTCGTGTGGGCCAATATAAACCCGAGACACGGCTTAGCGGGAAGACGCGATCAACGATAAACGATTGCGAGGCTTCGTAGAACAAAGCTCGCGTGCGCGTCATGTCTGCGTGGTCATGGCATGCACTTGAATATGACGTGGCGTGCACCGTATTGGCATATATGACTATAGTTTGTTACTATCTTGCACCCACTTTGCAGACTTGGCCTGCATCTTGGCTATCGCTTCGTGATCGTCGCCGAGCTCCTTCATTTTCGTGATGGTGTCCTTGTCAGGAATGGAGATCCCCGCCTGGACAGCGGGTCGCTCGCTGATGGTATCGAGCCATCGCTTGAGGTTCGGGAATGCGTCGAGCGTCTCGATGCCTGCCCAGGCATGGAATCTCACCCAAGTATACGAGTTGATATCCGCCAGCGAGTACTGGCCCTTGGACGGGCCGACAAGGTAGTCTCTGTCCTTGAGCCGACCCTCGAGAACGCCATACAAGCGCTTCGTCTCGTTGACGTACCGGGTCATACCATATTCAATCTTTTCTGGCGCATACCTCACGAAATGGTTCGCCTGGCCCTGCATCGGTCCTAGACCGCTTTGAGCCCAAATGATCCACTGGACGAGCTGGCTGGTCTCGTTCGGATCTGCAAATGAGAGTACGTGGTCTTGATCGTAGTGTTGACACAGGTACATGTTGATCGCAGCGCTCTCCATGACCGGAAAGTCATTGCGACTCTTGTCCGTCAAGGCGGGTACTGCGTGCCGCGGCATGAGGATAAGAGGGATTCGCTTTTCGATGCAGGCTCACTGCGTCCGTTCGGATTGACGGCAAGGAACTCTGGTGTCTTCTGCTCGTCTGCTCGAACTGTCAGCCTGGCAGTGTCAGGTCAGGCGTCAAACTTGCTCTTTTGCATCGCAATCGGCTTGTACTCGCACTTGATACGATCGCCATAGTGCGCTCTGAGCTCTTCGATAGCGATCGAGCACTTCTGTCCGTTCGGCGTGGCAGCTGTGAGCAAGACAAGGTCGGCCATTCCGGTCATGTCACGCTGCAAATGTCGCCGTCGCGTTCGTTCGTCTGGTCCGAGTCGACTGCAGATTGGTCACGTAAGCAACGACGAATTGCCCTGTCCGGCGTGCATTGGCCGATGGATGGGCTCGCTATTTGGCTCGGACGATGACGAGGAGTCTTCGGCCAGCGATGACGATCCCATGATCAGCCATGACTCGACATGCCCTGTCGAGCAGACACGACGCCTTTCACAGGCAAATGCGATCAGTGGCTTGCATCACATCAAATTAGCTTTGGACAGCACAGAATCATCGATACTCTTCGATTCCTTGTATGAGGCTTTCTTTGCCAATGCTACCTCGAATCAAGTCATGCTCTTTGCGTCGCCCTCGTCGCGCTTCGAGCTGCCGACATGTCTGCAGTCAATCTTTAAAAGACTACCTTCATTGCTCCTTCGAGCAGGCATGGACCTCTCCGACATCGAGCACTACCTTCCGCCGGCATCTTCTTTGCCGCGACATCAGATCATCGTCAACCTGTACCGGCCAGGCGAAGGCATCACTCCTCATGTCGATCTGCCACATCGCTATGCAGACGGTATCATCGGACTCTCACTCGGCGGCGCCTGTGTCATGGACTTTGCGCACCGCTCGCAGACTCATTGCGTTCTGCTCGAAGCAGGCGATCTATACCTACTGAGAGGCGACGCGCGCTACAACTGGCTGCATGGCATCGCATACCGCGAACAAGACACATACCTCGACGCAAATGGCCTTTGCATCACCGTCAGTCGCGCCTTGAGAATTAGCGTCACTTTCCGCACGATGCTCGAGGGCTCAGATCTCGTCTACACTAGCGCGGCAAGCTAGATCAGCATATAGAGCATGCATCAACCACTATAGCTTCGATCTGGGATAGTTCTTGCGCACGCCTTCGACGACCTGGTCATCTTCTGCGCCGAACAAGAGTACAGTCACAGTAATCTGTAGCCTGAGAGATCAGCACGGCCCAGCCAATGCAGAATCAGTTGGACGCACGTCATCTCGATATCTTCTGCTTATAGGAGCGGGTATAGACATCAGAGCCTGTAGCGTAGATGAATTGGCGCCTCCGAGCGCGTTGCGTATCAGATGAGTCGCAATGTTCGCGTCCTCGAAAACATAGCTCGGCCCGGCGCCCCTCTGAGGCGTCTGACGAGGCACATGAGGCGAGATGATGCCCGTATCAGACAGCCTGACTTTCTTCACGACTGCTGATTGCGTCTGTGGTCTTCGCTCGCCGTCTAAATATGCGCCCACGAGTCCGACGACCTCTTCGTTGCTGAGCTGATCCCACAATCCGTCTGTGGCCATCACGACAAACCTGCGGGTCGAGCCCTTGCTCGGCTTGGCAGGGAGATCGAACGTCGACACGACAGGATCAGCCGTCACATAGGGCGGTGTGAGATAATTGCGGGGCACGTATCGACCCTGACCGGGGTAGAAGGCATCGAGCAGCTTCTCTTGCATTCCCACTGGCCACTTGTATCGCGAGTCACCCATTGCACCTGCTCGCGTGTCAGCAGATATCAAGATGAGCCACAGCAACGCACGTGTTGGTTCCAGACCGCCGAGTACGCGTCCCCGCATGATGACGCTGTCTCGCTCGCTCGCAGGGTGTTCAGCTTGCATTCTGTGCTCGAAGTAAGCATCGTTTCTCTCACAGGCCGGCCAGCGTACCGTTTGACCTCTTTAGGGTTCTTGCCCGTCTGGTCCTCAGTGAGAACTTCCGCTTTCCAGACGCCTTTCCCGACTGATGTACCCATGACGGCGCGAGAATCACCTGCGACAGCAAGCTGCAGTCGGTTATTGGCCGTGTCGACAAAGGCAAGGAGGGCACAAGAGCCAGACAGGGCGGGCAAGAGCGTCTGTAACGCTTCCGCTTGGGCAGTCGTGTTCAGCTTGCCCTTGCCAGAAGTGCTTTCGAGTAGCTTGATAGGCGCGTTGACAATGTCGCTGTCCAACCGCCGGAAAGCATTCCTCAGAGCTTCTTTTGTGACATTTGGATCCGAGTCCAGCTCGTCCAGCTGGAACGTGTCTTGAGCTGTCTTGCTATTACTCCCCGTCACGAAAGACCATACGCGGTCCATCTTGCCCTTCTCATCGTTGCCCTTGCTACCATCGGACGCTATAGACGAGGAGCTTGCCAGGCTTGCTAGTCTCACTTTGGCATATTCTTCTTCGCCCGCAAAGACGGCGTTCAGTTCGCGGCCGACGTAAGCAAGCAGGTGTTCGCTGAGATACTTTGACGTTTGCCAGCCGGAGTGACCATCGAACACGGCAAACAGCATGAGATCGCCCGTCTTTTTGCTCGAAGCATCGCGTGATAGTATGACGGAGCAAGAGTCGTCTTCGATCGGATCATTGCTTGCTAAGAAACTCGTATCGTATCTGTACAGAGGGTTTCCCGCTCTGCCCACAGAGAATGACTGGGCGTGTTCGGCCAGGCGTCGATCGGTCTCCTCGGCAGACAGCATTGCGAGCGTTTTGCTTGTCGCTTTTGTAGCCGTCGTCGTCCCACTGCCACTCTTATCGCCTGTCTCGCCTTGCAGAGGGACAGTGAAGAGCTGACTGCTCCTCGTCGGGGACGTGGAACTCGATGCAGCAGCGGCCAGCGCCGATGGACTTGTTGCTTTGGACGAGGCGTAGCGCTGTTGTCCGAGATAGATGACACTGGACAGTGCAACGACACCTAAGCTGATGAGAGCTATATCGATCGCCTTCCGTCGCTCCGGCGGGGGCGGCGGTCGCTTAGTAGATGAGGAGCTAGATGCGTTGCTACTCGATGAGCTTCCGTTCGAAGAGCCTGGAGGCGCTGCAGAGATATAGCTGGGCGAGCCTGTCGATCTGATAGCACTCAGAGACAGCCAGCGAGGACTGTCAAGCCGCGAACAGGCCGTCAAGGGACTAGATGGAGCTGAGCAAGCTCGACAGACAGTAGGCCGGCTTGCAACGAGAATGCTGAGCTGCAGCGAGCGGAGAGTACCAGGTAGAGCCCTCGCAGGCCTGGACATGTCCACCGCCCTGAGAGATTTACCACAGTAGCGGCTGTCAAGCGTACATCAGTACGTTCGTTCAAGTCGCTATGACGCAAATCCGCGCGAAGCTAGAAGCGCGACGATCTGTCTGCCGTCTGCCAGCGGGTCTCGGAAGATCACGCCAGAGTACAACAAAGCCCGGGGACGTAATGTCCATCACGTTGACAGTCAGTTCTAGGGCGAGCTCCATGCTGACTAGGACGGGGCTCGGGTCTATCGTCGGAGTGATGCAAGCGTGACCAATGTCAGTGTTGTCAGAGCAATCCACACTTCTCTTTGTGGTTTCGCCAGAGTGGCACCACTCGCGCCTGTCGATGCAGTACTGGCGAGTGAAGTGACAGTGGCAGAAGCGATGGGAATACCAAAGTCAGCGCCCGTTGTGGCATTGCCGAACGAGCCTGCAATGCGCGCTGCGCTAGTGACTGTGGCATTGCCGGCTGCGCTGGTAGCTTTGCTCCTTCTGTGAGCGCTCGACGTCTTGGTCGATGACGAGCTCGCTGATACTGGTGTAGGCGCAGTCTCAGAATCGCTGTTGTCATCAATGTTGCCCGACACTTGCTCGCTCGCGTCGCTACTGAATTTGCCTGTACCTCCCGACAGGGTGAAGCGTGCGCTGTAGGTGTCGCTCGTCATGTCGCTCCCAAATACCGAGGGACGCATGCGGAGGAAATAGTAGTGCCCTGAGGGCCCGATATTGGCGGGAATGGTGCCTGAACCGGAAAGCTTTCCTGCGGGAAAATTGCCCACGGTTGCTAGCATGGTCTATGGATGCGGGTAAGACCAGTGACATACACAGCTGGCGCGGGCATACCTGGTTCGTCAGGGAGCCGACGTAGACCATGACTTTGAGCGTGCCGAGCGGCGTCAGGTCCGAATCGCCGCTGTCTTGCCATGTGAATTGGAAGGGCTTGCCGGCTGCGATGGTCGTAGAGGCAACAGGTGCAGTGATCTCGAGAGTTGCTCTCGCTATGCCAGCGAAGCTAAGGACTGCAAACAGTGCGAGCCTTTGTATTCTTGCCATATTCATCTCTGAATCTGCTGAGTACGGAAGTGAAGTGCAGTGTCGGGAGTGACGCTCGATGAGGCGAGCGAGCCAGTGAACTGCACAGTGGGACGGTCTATCGCTCTTGCCGAGACAGACCTGTCGTGGTTTTGCGGTCTTTGAATGGCGATCGCTCGCGCCAAGACAGACGCGACAAAGTCACGCGGGTGATCACGCGCTAGCGGCTTTTGCAATTTTGACATTCTATCAGGGTTCGGTCTCAGGGAATCTACTTGATCAGCTGCACTTTGGGCCACCTGCGCGAGCTTGACTTCAGCACTAAAAGCCGCGAGAGGGAGATGAAGAGCTCACTTGAAGGTAGGCCCACTGGATGCCACGCAGATTTGACCGAGCTGATGCGCGACGTCAACACACGTGTCGATGTCTTTCCCTTGCAAGAGAGCACCACAGAAAGCGCCTGCGAAGGCGTCGCCCGCTCCGTTGGTATCGACGATATCTTCGTCCTTCATGGGGGTGACAGGGAACACCTTTGGTTCTGCATCGGGCGTAGCGACGATGGTCGAAGACGCTCCTTGAGTGATGACGACCAGACGGGGCGAGGCTGTGTTCTTCTTGGGCAGTGCAGCGAGCTTGCTCGCAATCTCTGCAATGTCTTTCGTCTGTCGTGGATATATCAGCTCGGCAATACATGAGGAAAGGACGAGACTTACATTCCAGTCGTGGGAGGCAGCATAAGCCTCTGCTTCGCTCTCGTTACCGAACAAAACATCGACGAGCGGCAGCATCGTGTCGACTTGGCTCTTGAAGAACTGTGGAATGAAAGGCGCTGACAGGTTCATTGCAAACATCTGCACACACACGGCCACACATGAGCAACAGCTTCGCGCAGGTCGTCTGCAAGGTACCTTGTTATGCTCGCTGGCATAGCTGGCAAGCTTTGTAGCGCTCTCGATGCCATGGGTGAGGAAGAAGCCACCGAGATAGAAAAATTTGGCGCCCTCGATCAGCTGCTTGACGTTGGACTCTTCGAGATGCGATGGCGTGAACTTCTCAGCAGCGCCCAGCAGCGTTGCTAGCGATCTGACCGTCCACCCGTCTCAGTGGGCCTTTCGACAGACGCAGCAGAGGGGAGACGCGCCTGTTGTGACCAGTGATGACCACCGCGCAGGCTCCCGTCGGCTCGCCACCCTTTGGAATGACCTGGTAGAAGCTCTTGAGGCCTTCCTTATCATTGGCCGCTCTCAGCTGATCGGCAAGATCGTCTTCGCCTACTGCACCGAGATAGGCGGTCGAATTGTCGGGCAAGACATACTGCAGCATGCCAATTGAGCTCATGCGACTTGGCAAGCTTGTCACATTCTGACCTGTGCAGCTCTGGCAGCATTCTGTGCAGCACCACCGGCGACATAGACGACGTCGTAGTTGGTCTTGATGTCGTCATAGCTGCACGATGGCCTGATGAGTAAAATGTTCAGGGGCTGATGCGCCTTGAGACTTGCATCTCCTTTTGCTTGCCCTCGACGAGGATAGCATCGTTCGCTTTGAGTTCATATTTCTGGAGCAGCGCTTCACCATTGCGCACTTGGATGTCGAGCAACCTGTCGACCGAGGCAGATCCTACGTCAGCTCTGCCCAAGCACGTTGCGAGTTGGCCTGGCCGCGCGAGCATGTGCAACCATGCTGTGGGATCACTGACGGGTTGCCCATTGCTACGAAGGAGTAGGAAGCCATCTTCGGTGGCTGAGCAGTCGCACAGGACAGTCGGCAGATTGGTAACGAGTGACTTTGCCAGTGGACCGCGCGCGCCAAGGTGCACACCGTCCGTCGATCCATCTGCCGGCGGTCCTCTGGGCAGATCATAGATGGATGACCCGGCACGAGAAGTGTCGAGCGTCATAGAGAGCCTCCTCGCAGCACCAAGCCCGTCAGCAGCTCCATCAGCCTGGGCAGATCTGCTCTGACGTCGAGCATCTCAGTGACCGTCTCAACGAGACTCTACAGCAGTACTATACCTCAGATGCAGCCTTCGAGCATCCTCTCTGTCGAGTAGCATCACGTCCACAATCTATCAAGGCAATCGCCAATATATACCTATGGTAAGTAGCTCGATAGGACGACATCGCGCGCCTCGAATCACGCCCATTGCATCGCTCAGGTACCACACCATCGCAGACGTCGTCAAGACCGACGTCAAAAGCGTCGGCAAGTGTCCGTCCGAGTCTGGAGGCATGCCCGACTCATGCCCCATGTCCAGCATTTGATGAGGCGAACAGCCGATTATACCTCGACGTGACTCGCATTGTCAACCTACGCATCACGCCGTTCAAGCCAGTACGACAAGCACTTTTCCAGTAGGTTCAGCAACTCAGGCACTCGCAGGTTCGCCTACGCCTGATCATCGTCCTCAATCTTGCCAAGGGACGCGACGGCAAGCTAAGGATAAGGAAGCAGGAAGATCTATACCAGCCAGAGAGTCTCGCACTCTTCGGCTTGCCCGGCAGCTCATCTCTCGTCCTCATACTCAAGCACACAGCCACCTTTGCGTGCAATGTTGCAGTCCAGTCCGTCATGACTGCTTTGCCCCATGTGTGACTGCAGCTGAGCGTAGCGCAGATTGGCGAGGACGGTCGGCATGTTCAGATAGCATGGATCAATGCAATAAAAACGTTGCACTGCTCCGCATGCATCCGCTAACAGACCAGCCTCTGGCTCTGGCCCGAGACCTGAGCGCTTGAGGAGTTTTCTCAGATTTATTGCAATCAATTGGTCACGTGAATAACTTAGGATCGCTCCGCCGCCGTCGAGCAGGCGGCCGGCAGCAGCGATGTCGGCCTACTCTAGCCGACCGGGCGGTCAGTCTCATTGCTCGTCCAGTCAAGCTGCACCACTGATGCTCCACATTGTCGATACAGTGAGGAAACCAAAGTTCTTCAGGCCAAATATTGCAGCTGCATCTGCTTTGCCGACGAGTCAATCCTCGAGCGAGTCAGCTTCCCGCAAGCCGTCACAACAAGCCGGCATACCAAGTGACCGATCAGGCTCGCAAGTACCGACGAGCAGCACAGCAGACGGCCAGCCAAGCTCAACTCAAGATGCCCCAGCGAGATCTCAGGAACCTGCAGCAAGCTCTCTGAGTGAAGCTCCACCTGCTCGCCTGCCACCCACGCCTGAGCAGACGCAACAGCGTGCATCGGACGCTGGGAATGCGATCGAGTCTGACCATGAGTCTCGTGCACGACGGATCAAAACATCCGGCCAAGCAAAGACGGACGCTCAGCAAGCTGCGCAAACGAAGGCAGACAACGGGCTGCTCACACCGGACGCTACCCAAGAATCTCAGCGCCTTCAGCATGAGCTCTCGTCTGCCTCGCAAGTTGATGATCGTGTTGCAAAGGCTACTCAAGTCGCGAGGATGCCAGAGACCGTCAATGCCGCAAAGCCGAGAGCGAAGCGCGGGCAGCCTATCTCTGCACCTGCTAGACCAGCTACAGCTATTGCTGCCCCCTCTCCGAGCATCGTCAGGCCTGCGTCTTATGCAGTGGCTCGGCCTAATGGCAGGTCTGCCGACGTTGCAGTTGGCTTGCAACCGCCGGCCGCAGTTGCGCAATCAGACACATCTCACCTGCTCAGACTTGGCTCACCTGCCGACTCGCGCGCGCCGGTATCGAGAGGAACTACTGTCAACGCGGAAGCGAGCACATCTGGTACAGCCGGAAGCAAGACCAAACCTGCACCTCAGCGAAAGCGCAGGCCGACCCCCAAAAAGGCCACCGCTGATCTGACCGAGCAACTCGTCCAACACAAACGCAAGGTCACAGCTGAAAGGGCCAAAGCCAGCAGGAAGACGACGGTTGCGCCCCCAACTGCGGACACGAATGTTGCGCCAATGCAGCAGACATCGCCTGAGCCTATCCGCACTGCCGCAGATTTAGAAGCAGTCGAGGCTCTCGGCAATCTACGTTCAGGGTTTGGCACGCTTGGCACGTCCGCGCCGTCTCTTGTCGCCCAGACGACCGACCAAGATGACAACCCAATCGCATCAGAGACGAGCAATCTGGCCGCAAACAAGCGTCCACTCGGTCCGCCTGAAGAGTGGAATGCCTTCATGCAAGAAAAAGTCACCGCTCCTGCGCATGACCCAGATGACAATTCGATGCCGCCGCCTGCAAAGCGTAGCAAACCGCAGACCGGGGACATCCAAGTCACGGCGACTGATGGGGATGAGGAAGCCGAGGCTGCCTATGAAGAGGACGCCGGTCCAGTCTTCCTTGAAGGACAGGACAAAATCGATGCGGCGAAGACGAAGATGAACATGCTCCTGCGAGACTTTGACAACGGCGATAAGAGCCAGCGTTACATTGAGATCAAGCGTGCGCAGCAGGAAGCAAAGCAACGCCGCGCTCGTCATCGCCAGAAAATGCGCAGACGCAATGCCGGCGCGGCCGTTTCTGACAACGAGGACGACGAAGTTGATCGAGCTCTAGACGAGATCAATCGGGTCAGCCGCTCGGGAACTGCTCGCTCGAGTCGAGAAGGCACTGCGGCTACACAGGCTTCTATCGATGGGGACGATGAAGATTTTACCATGCCGGCTGTTGGAGGCCCTCGACTGCAGATCGTCGACGGCCAATACGCGATCGACGAGAGCTCCACCCAGATCAGGCGTGCCGGAGTATGTCGGCTACTCTTAGCTCTTGCTGCTGAGCTGATGCACCACCTTGCAGCTGGGGCGAGATGACGCTGAACGAGAGGTCGTCACAGAAAGCGCCAACACTCGATTCGTCAATTCCTCCACTCACTCGAAGCGAACCGGTTCTGCAAAGTGGCGATCTGAGGAGAATCTGGCGTTCTTTGAAGTGCGTATGTTCAGAAATTTCGAATGCGCTTGCTGATGCTAGGCACAGGCACTTCGCATGTTCGGCACAGACTTTGAGATGATTGCTCGCCTGTTTCCTGGGCGCAATCGTCGCATGCTCAAGAATAAGTACACTCGCGAAGAGAAGGACCGTCCTGCAATGGTCAACTGGGCACTTTCAAACCGTATACCGATCGGTAAGCCAAGGCCTGACCTTGCGCGGCAAGCACTTACGCTCGGGACAGACATTGAGATGTACGAGCTTCGTACCGGTGTCTCGCTCGACCGACATGGGCCCTTACCGGAAGATCCTTGCGAGCCTTACTATGAAGCGCTGCCTGCCCATCTGCGGAAACAGTCCTCCACACCTGCAGTCGAAGTTGATGGCGGGCTTGCAGTCGATCCAGAGCTTGATGGCACGGGGCCCTTTGCAGACGAAGAAGAGGCCATAGCTGCCAATATCGTAGCAGATGACAGCGACGAGGAGCTTCCCAATATACCAGGCGCGATGCCGTAGCTGCTGCCGCGCCTGCAGCGCTATCGAAGCTCGATATATGCTTTGTGCCCTCCTTGTGTGACATAGAAGAATTGATTGCAACAACATTTGTACATGCACAAACAGTATCCTCAATCGTCGAGGGTAAGATCAATGACAGCTCGGGCTGTCACTGACAGAAGACTCGCATTCTCTACCGTCGCACTGGTCTTTATCGGCTCGAGCAATTGTAGCTGGCGAGCAAAATCGTCAGAAGCACCTAACATGACGTGATCGAAGATCTCTGCCCAGTCGCCTGTCGCAACATCAATCCTATTGACGAGGACGTTGCCAACGCCTTGTGCAAAATCACGCAGCAAAACCCTGAAGCCATGAACCTGCAGAAAGTGTTCAGTGTAGGTACCCTGTTGTCAACGCGAGACCGACTTTGAGGCTGGTGCCCATGACAGGTATCATATCTGGGCGCTGTGATCGATCAAAAGCAGCCATCTCGCCAATAGAACGGTCCCAGTCTGGAGAGATGCTGCTCCCGCCATGCAGCGTGATTGCTGGTCGTACGCTGCCTAGCATGCCTGCTCTCCTCTTGCTCTGTTCTGCACGATCTCGTGCTCGAATTTCACAAAGAGTACAAGCTGGTACTTGGCCTTCTGCGAAATGCTGCAGAATGGCATCTCGTCCAGAGACTCTTTTAGATGACAGACTGAGCAGACAACTTCTGCCCACGACCCGTGTAATTGAACCACTTGCGCCGCCCTCTGAGCACTTCGAAGCGCATCCGATGCCTCTCTCGCCGTCGGATGCTGCATATTTAAATCGGCCGGAACGCAGCAGAGGCCGGCCCGCCCTTCCAAACCATCATTGTTCTGCGTGTATATCCTTGCCAGAGCCCCTCTGTCGTGCATTCGCTTGATCATCCTGTGCGTCTCGGTAGGTTCTGCCTCGTCCGATGCGCACTTGAGGTTGTTGAGGAATATCAGATGCGTCTTGATGCCGTCTGGCGTTCTCAGGATGCGCGCGTCAGATAAGTCTTTGCCCTTCATCGTCGGCAATTCAACTTTGCTCGGGGTCGCCGTCACACGCTTGACTTTCGGAAATGGCAGCCTATCTGTAGACCTTCTTATGCTAGGCGTTCGGTCTGGCGTAGCCGGGGCTCTGTCTGAGCTTCTCAGTAGTCGACACGGGCGCCCTTGCTTTATGATAGGGGACGCGTGCGATTCGCGTTCCGGCTCTGCGAGAGTGTCGAAGGACCGCTTCAAGCGATTGTCGCTTCGACATGAGGTCATCCTATTGGCTACGCTGTCAAAGCTGGACTCAAGCGTCGGCAGTTGTAACAATGGCTGCCGCCTAGGAAGCGTATTGCATGGACTGGCCGGTAATGTGAGATTGTAAAACCCTTCAGCTGACCCGAAGTCTTGCAGTGAGACGTCAGTCCTGACTGTCGAGCTTGCGTATTGTTCGAATCACGGACGGGTATGCCTGCGCTGCATGAGATGCCTGCGCCTGTAAGCACCACGATCCGTTGCGCAGCGTGAAACTTGACGGCGAGCGCTTTCATACGCTTGCCAATCGACGGCGAACCATCTGCTTTGATCGTCTGTGGTTTCAGATTGAACTTGGCCGCTGTCATCGCCGCTGAGGTGAAAGCTCGGCTAGTGTAGGGTCGCATCTGGGCGAGGACAATCAGCGTGATGCGGAGCGCGTCGCGAGCGGCCGAGGCGCCGATGCTTCAACTACTCAGGCTCGGGAGAATGAGCGAGACAGCCGCTATGTTGACACTGCGTGCGCGTATATATGACATGCGACAACAAACTGCATGCTACTCATGGGCCGTAGCTGCTCAACAAATCGTCAGAATCGTATCGAGAAGAGGACGTGTCGTCAAGGCTTTGACGCTTGACCATTTCGTCCATCGAGCGATTGCTGCGATCTGCGAGCGGCTGGACAGACGATTTCACTGAATGTGCTGTCTTGTTGGTGGTCGAGCCTGGCGATTGCAGAGAGGCCAATCGAGGCGACGAGGGTAAAGACGCATTTGAGCGTACTGGTGGTACGATAGCCGAAGTCGCGTCATGTCCAAAGGACGATTCTTCCGCAATGAGAGCGGACAAATCACGCCCAGTATTGTCAGAGAATGGCGGTCTGGCGCTGGCTGCACTACGGGCCGAACCTGGTGCGACTGATGAGCCTCGTACAGAGGGCGGCGTTGACGGCATTGATATGGCTGCGCTTGGCATTTGACGGGCGCTGTTAGAAGTGGGCGAATCGGGAAAGCGTGATATAAAGTGGCTATTGGCCTGAGACGACTGTTTACGTGGCGGCGGAGCACCTTGAGCCTCGACAGCAGCAGCCTGTGCGGCTAAAGCTGCGATTGTCAGAGGCAGATGGGGACTGGACACGTCTGAGGACTGTCCGTCCTTCTGAGACGTACTGTCGCTGAGTGTAGCCTGCATCGGCCCAGATCCAGATCCGAATCCAAGCACAGGCGAAGCACTGGCGCTTAGACTCGGGCTAAGTGGCGGCAATGAGGCATCGCCAGTCGAATGATTGTCCAAGCCTGGTGATCTAGATGCACTTGGCTGTTTGCGTGATGGCGACTTGCTGGAGCGTGGCTTTTTGAACGATTTACCTATCTTGAACGACGTTCGAGAGCTTTCGCCTGACATGCATGTCAGCTCGTGCGCCAATCGCCTTTGCAGGCTTACCTTCGCTCGCCAGTTCTTGCTTGTTCCAGAACTTGAAAGCCGGCTTTTGAAAGAAGCCTGAGGCTGCGCTAGGTGATTTGGTCATCTCGCTGGGCATCTCGGCAGAATTATCGAGATCTTGCATAGGCTCATGAGCGTCTTGGGCAGTCGTGATTGGTGATATCGCATCCGTGGGTTGCTCCTCTGCAGTGATGGGTGCAGCGACGACCTTTCGCTCGATCAGCATAGCAGGGTCCAGGTCGGGTAAAGGCGGCGCTTCCGCTGCGGTCCCTGGCGCCTCGATCGTGCTTTGGCTGAGGCTCGCATTGGCAACGCTCGAGCTGGAGCGCGGTGGACGAGCGACAGCGGAGGCGGCTGAATCAGCAGCGCCAGCTGTGACCGGCTCGCTCGATAACGCTGACCAGCTGGGCTCGTTGGCATCTCTGCCGTCTACATCTCCCCCTGCTGTACTTGCTGCGGGATTCACGGCTTTGAAAGCGAACAAGGAGGCATTGCGATTGGACATCGGCTTGCCAGCAGAAGACTCAATGGAAGATTGCGACGGCAGAGGGGGCACTTCAACAGCGGGCGGACTGAACGAGCGCATGTAGCCAAGTGTCGTCTGCGCACTATCCGTAGAGACCATCGAAGCATGTCGAAGGTCAGTTCCCCCTCTCACCAATATATTCTGCGGCGAGAGTCCGTCGTCATTTGGTATGACTGCTCAATGACATCAGCGTCTATTTGCAGCGTCTGACATGAGCGGTCTACCTGTGCCTGACGGTGACATAAGATCGCTCGCCCGTCGCTCGTGCCATTCTGACTGTCTGATTTCTGGGACATGTTGTAGTGCGCGCTCGATAAGTGCAGGGCTAGCTGACGATCGCGCTGGCGAGGGCGCATTGGCGCGCAGGGGCTCCGCTGCTATCTTGTATCCATCAGATGCCCCGATGATAGCACCAGTAGCATGTTCAGAGGTCGCCCGCTGACGAGCTGCGCTCGGTGACATCGTGCCTAGGATGCGCTCAAGATTGTCAAAGCTGGCTTCCATATCGATGCTTGAGCTTCTGCTGGTTTTAGGAAGCTCTGCAGCATCTGCGCCTTCTACGCCCGGCACGCGTAAAGATACACGACCCCCGGCTGACCCTTGTCCGTCCGTCTCAGGCGAGATTTGCGTGTCCGCTTCGTGCTGCTCGTCGGGGCATGCTGATGCAAGCAGAATCGGCGACGAGAGTCTGGGTCCTTGCCTTTGCTCAGACAGCAGTCGCTGCACGTCTTGTATATCATCTGGAGCTCGCACCTCGTCGCTGAGCGCAGGCGACATCTGCGGCATACTAGCGGCGGCGGGTACAAAAGTCTGCGGTATTTGATCGCTGTAGATACCCAGACCTCTCTTCAATAAGGGCGCGAGGTCTTCGGTATCGTCTAGGCGAGCTATTGGTGCGATCCAATCTCGCTGGATTGCAAGAGGCGAGGCTACCGATGGTTGCAGGCTTGTCGCGCGTGTGCCCATTTCGGTCGTCTCTGCTGATGCAGCATCGTCACGTTCTTGGCTGCTATCAGCTTCGCTGCTATCATCGAGCTGTTGGTACCCGCCTTCAGCTTCTCTCTGGGCCGCGGTCAGACCACTGGCGCGCATCGTCACCTGCTCAAGCTCTGCTGGCATTGGAACTGCCGGGTTCGTCTGCACCTGACCAAAAGACAGTGGCGTCGTGGCCTGCAGCGATGAATGTCTTGGTGCGAAGATGGAGCTTATGGGCGCAGGTGAGGTTGTGGATGACGGAGATGCTGCTTTCGACCAAGCTTCGAACCATTTACCGCCCCCTCGCCGCTCATCGATTTCAAACTCAATTTTGCCAACGATGACAGGCTGTGCGAACGAGCTGCCCTTTGCGTTGCTTGCATAGGATCGTCGATCAAAGCTCATCGATTGACCTGCAAATGACTGTCGTGCCATACGAGATTCGCGTAGTATACGAGGTGACGGCTGTGAGCTTTGATGCGAGGTGTTCGCAGAACCGGCAGAAGGGGCTGTTCTTGGTCTCCCACGCGATGCTACGGAGCCTGGCCTCGATTGCAAGCTAATGCTGGCGGAAGGACTTGCGATAGCGCTGGCTCGAGCATCCGTCACGTCATGTGGGTAGCTTCCGTTTGGCAGCGTCCAGATAGGCCGTTTGTCTTCTACAGCACGTAATGCCTTCCCAGGTCTGATAGGAGAGCCGCTGGGCGTGGTGGTCCGGCCAATATTAGGCGGCGGCTCAAGCTCTGCAGATTCAGTCGAATCGTCCTGAGTGTCTTCCACTGAGATGTCGCCAGCAAGATGGACTGGTATTTGTGGCACCGGGGGTACCCTGCCCGACGATGCTAGCGGATGATCGTCGACGGCAAAGAGCAGTGCTTCTTCGCGCTCGAGTTCAAGCATATCCTCGAGAAAGAGTTGGGCCCAGAGCAGCTCCCATGCATCCTCGCCTATCCTTGGACCGCCTTCTCCGATCAGGCTGGCTAGCGGCCCGTTGGCTGATGAGATTGTCTCGAGCAGATATACGACGATACCCCCTGTTGAAGGTAGGCCGTACTCTCGCGCGATAGCTGCCACCTGTCCGGAAAGAGTAGGATAGAGCGGCACTAGGGTCCCTCGCCTGTGGATGTCGTTCGATGAGTATGAGTTCTAGCGGATTTTAGCAAAGAGCATGCCTGAAGTTACGCGCTGAGCCATAGCCGGAGCACAGAGGACTCGTTCGGGGATGGGGCGGATCATGTGGCAGTGCCTCTGGTGGGATGACAGTGACGAGGTAGCGCGAAGGCGGTTGTCTCCGTCTAGACGACGATGAGCTGACAGATGATGATAGATATTGATGAGCTGAGATGCTCGTATTGGCTTGCATCTGCTCATCGCTGCGTCCTATGGTCGCCATCGCGTCCTTGGCTCGTAGCTCCTGCGTCGCCCGCTGGGCGGCCAGGGTGGCCGTGAAGTCCGGCGTGAACGTTGCGAGCGTCACTGCTCGTGTTATGTTCTTCGTATGTGATCAGGGGTAGCTAGTGAGGATGTCGCAGTCGTTAAACGGTGCGCGCCGTGGCTTCAGCCGTGGGTCGTGTGCTCATCCGATGGTCTGGATCAGGCTTGCTGTGTGCCCATGACCTCGAGCCAGCATTGTGGCTACGACGCGTCGCGCCTGCGCTGCTTTGCTCCTTTCGGCTGCAGGCTGATGATCATCCAGGCGCCATCTCTAAAATGAAATCCATGGGCGATCGCAGAACTCAATCCCGTCAGGCTCATATTCCCAAATCTCTCGAGTTTGGCCTTGGCAATAAGTTCCCACGAATGTCATTCTTCGACTCGGATGCCTCTTCTGATCCTGTGCGCCTCGCACTCGACGCGTTGCTTGCTAGGGACGATCTTGCACTGCTCAAAGATGCGCGCGTCATCTACAGGGCAAACCCGGATCCGCACAATGTCTCCATCATCTCAGGCGGGGGCAGTGGTCACGAGCCTTTGGCAGCAGGCTATGTGGGCAGGGGCATGCTGACCGGCGCTGTATCGGGTGACATCTTTGCGAGCCCTTCGACTAAGCAAGTCTTTGCAGCCATCAGAGCATGCGCAAGCGATGCGGGGACGCTGTTGCTCATCCTCAATTACACTGGCGATGTTCTCCATTTCAATCTTGCGGCACAGAAAGCTCGCGCCGAAGGACAGGCGGTTCAGGTCGTTGCCATTTCAGATGATGTCGCAGTCGGCCGTGCGGCAAGTGAGCTGGTCGGAAGACGTGGCTTGGCTGGTATGATCCTGGCTCAGAAAATCTGCGGCGCTGCGGCGGAAGCCGGTCAGTCATTGCATCAGCTGACAACACTCGCACAACGCATCAATGCTAATATGGTCTCTATTGGGGCATCACTCGATCATTGCCATGTGCCAGGCTCACTACCCGCTCATCTAAAGGCAGACGAAATTGAGCTTGGCATGGGCATTCATAATGAGCCCGGCTTTACAAAGCTGTCGCCATCACCCAAGCCTGCCGAGCTCGTTGCGCGAATGTTAGGACTACTGCTCAAGCAAGACGATGAGGAGCGCTCCTTTGTGCGGTTCGCAGCCGGTGATCAGCTCGTCCTCCTTGTGAACAATCTTGGAGGGCTGAGCAATCTCGAGCTTAGCGCCTTGACGTCCCTCACTCTGTCCGCGCTGGGTGAGACACTCCTAATTGCGTGCTGGCACAGCTTATCAGCCTGCAGAGGACCAAGCTATCCACCCTGTGCGAGTCCTCTCGGGAACCTTCCTCACCTCGCTTGACGGATCCGGCTTCTCCATAACGCTGCTCAACATAAGCTCAGCCGCCTCGGACGTGTCCAGCAATTCCGAGCTTCTGGATTTGCTCGATGCTCCTGCAGCAACGGCAGCCTGGTCCAATCCCAGTGCAACATCCTCAGCCTCTGCATCGCGTGATAGTCGTACAAAACAATCTAGTAAGGACGTTCGCAGCCCGCAGCAATCAGGCAAAGTACTGGTAAGCGCATCGGTGCTCTATCGGGCCATCAGCGGCGCATGCGAAACGCTCGAAGCGCAAGGCCCGCAGCTAACTCGATGGGATACCATCGTCGGCGATGGGGACTGCGGCCGTACTTGCGAGCAAGGCGCGCAAGCTGTTTTAAAGCTCGTGAACAGTCCTCCGCACTCATCCCGCATCGATATAGGCTCTTTCGTACACGACATTAGCGAGGCAGTCGAGGATGCTTGCGGGGGCACGCTCGGTGCAATTTTCGCCATCTTCCTCGCTGCATTAGCCAACGAACTCTTGGCCGTGACAGCGGACAGCCTTGAGATGTCCACTTGGGCAGCTTGTGCAGCTCGCGCTCTGGAGACGTTGGAAGCATCAACGCTTGCTCGCCAAGGCCACCGCACTATCATGGACGCACTCATCCCGTTTGTCGAAACTTTCACTATTTCGAATGTTCTACGAACGGCCGTGTCCGCTGCCATTACAGGCGCAGAGGGAACGAAGAATCTTAAAGCGAAGCTGGGCCGAGCGGCCTACATTGGTGAGCGTGAGGGGACAGAAGTCCCGGATCCCGGTGCGATGGCGGTCGCGGCGATCCTGTCCGGCTTGATGGAGGCGTTTGACTGACGAGAAGAGCATCGATGAGTGTTGTACAGTTGCAATGGTACAAACACGTAGTCTAAGGGCCTCTAGACCTGATGATCGCGATCTTGATACGAAGGCGGCCGATCTTTGTGCCTGCCACTCGACGCCTCGTCCGAGTCAGAAAGGTCTTCCTCGCCAATATCGAAGACAGTCTCGTCATTGCGCACGAGCGAGTGCGCCTCGGCATCTTTGCCAATGCTTTCAGCGTCGCGATCGTCCGGTCTGTTCCTCAGGAGCGACGTGACTGCATAAGACTCTGCGCCATCATCATCCTGCGCAAGCTCTTCCGACATTGCAAGAAGCCTGTTTTTGGGTGTCGGCCGCCATACGAAAGCAATGGCAGCGAATACGATGAAGTAGAGCGAGCCGAGCTGTGCGAGGCTGATTGAGCTCGCTCGCTCGAGACAAACAAGAACGAGACTTACCCAGCCGTCTAGTAAGAACCACCGAGTCTGCCATGTATCGGGAGCGTAGTTGTCATCTAGTCTGCTAGAGAAAGACACCGACGAGATCACAAAGAAGGAGGCAATGACGATGATGGCGCCAATCAGTATGCGATAGAGACGAGTGAACATGAGCTTCTTGAACGTCTGCTTGCGGGCCGTTAGGTCGGCAATCGTGCTGTTGAGTGAATACATGATCCACATCATGAACGCTGTCAGGGAAAGAGCAAGCGGGATGATGAAGAAGAAGATGAAGATTCCTGCGCTTTCTAGCGGTATGACGACCGTGCCGACCGAGTACAGGACGCCAAAGATAAAGTGGATGACGGCGAGGATGCGTGCTTTGTTCATGACGGGCCCGAGCGAGGGCTTGACGACCGAGAAACCCATGCAAGTGATGAGAAGCAGGAAGAAGCTTGCACTATTGCGTGCGGCATTGACCATTGCGACTGCACATATGCGTCAATGTCATCTTGTCTTGAGATCCAGTGGACTGACCAAAGACGAGCAAGAAGCGAGCGACCGCAATGTTGCTACTTGTGTTCAGGTAGGCCGTGTAGCTCCACAGCACGAACATCTCAAAGATGAGGAATACGATCGTGCCCGAAACGTAGTGCTGCCCGTCCACATTGCAAGTCAGCCTCTGCTCAGACACGGAGACAGGGCACTCGCCTGGATGGGCAGCAGATCTCGCCTGTTCTTGACGCAAAGAGCGCCCCAGCCGATGCCGACGAAGCTGTAGAGGAAAGTCAAGACACAGTAGAACTGCACGAGGTGCAGTCAGAGCTTATCGATCGCGAAGGAAACCGGCCTTACCGCTACTTTTGGATACTCAGAGGCAGGCAGGTTACCCTTGAAGACGTTCTGGAAATCGACGACGCCTGTGAAGACAGTCGCGGGACCGTACGACGCTCTGAGGGCGAGATCTGCCGGTTCGTCTGAGGCAGGCGCGTCCTGATAGCCTGCTGCAGGCGCACTGCTGGAAGACAGAGGGACCGTGCCGACGCAATAGAAGCCCGTCTTTGTGATGTTGTAGATGAAAGGTCCGGAATTGCTTATCATGCCGCCGAATTGGACCGCCCTGGTATAGATGGACGTGCTCGTATTGGCCGGCGCCGACACGATAAATTGGCCTAGTTGGGATTCCTCGCAGAGACCTGCAGCATTGGCAGCTCCAGTACAGATGTACGTTCGTTGCGCAGGCTCATCGGTGAGTGCTCTCAGGGTCAGAGCACCCGGCGAGTCGAGTGATGCACTGCCGTCGTTGTCACCCGTCGCCGCACGATCGTTGAGCTCGTCTGGGTCGAGTCCGTCAGCGGCGTCGAGAGTATTGTTGGCCGAGCTGGCTTGACTTGCACCCAGGTAGCGAGCGTCCCTCCACTCGTAGATGACGAGGGCGACCTGACCCATTGAGGATGCGCCAAAGACAACCTCGATGGCTGGATCTCGTACGCCGCGAGTGAAGAGACCCGCCTTGGCGTACATGCCGCTGCATGTCTGCCTGCTCACATCCTCGTCTGTTATCAAGACTTGGTAGGCATGACTTGACAGTGGCAGCAGCAATGTCGTCAAGACCTTTGATAGCCGCTTGAGCTGTCTCATGATGGCTAGATCTGAACAAACGCCTGGCCTCTGCTTGCGATCCTGTCTTGAAGCCTGTCAGGTCGACATGAGCTGGGCGGTGACGCTAGTTCGGGTCTATCAGGTCGTCGTCGGGGGCGGCAAGCGGCAGGCTCGCCTCGTGTCGCGTAACAGACGATGCTCCTCCGGCTAGATCCTAGACCTGGCTTGCCCTTGGCTTGAAATGCCCCGCTCCCCGACTTGTCAGCGCAGAGCTTGATGCTCCGCAGCCTTCTCGACTTCTGTCTCGGTAGACGACAGGCGTACAGCTATTCTGACGACCAAGCCGGGAGGCACGCCCTCGTCCTGTCTCATAAGTTTGTCACGGATTGACACGCCTGCTGGAGCAGAGAATCCCTGGACGAGTGGGTCTGCCTCGGGGATTTAGCTTCGCCCACATCTGCGCTTGCGAGCGTAGCCGTGCACGCCAAGAGCCACTCGACGCTAGAACTGCAAGACTCTGCCAAATACGATGGAGCCAGTGCGAAAGAAAAGCAAGTGGGAGGATCTGGATCAGCAGGAGGATGAGGACGATCTACAAGCTGCTCAAGCCAAGGCGCTCGAACGGGAGCTCAAGAAGAAAGCTAAGCGGGCTGCCGCTGCTGCTCAAGCTGCCCGCGAGCGTCCCTCCAATCTTGCGCCCACGCCTGCTTCGCCACAGCCCGTAGCTTCGACTTCGCATACTCTCAGACGAGATGATGATGGCAGCGAAGGGCCCGTCAGAGTGAGCATCAAGGGCAAAGCACGTGCGACAGAGCAAGAGAACCTCAACCAAGCCAGATTACGCGCCATCAGGCAGCGACATCCCGTCCTTGCGGGCAGTCGGAGCGTCTACTGCTACGAACGCCTCAATCATATCGAGGAAGGCAGCTATGGCGTCGTATCGCGAGCTCGGGATAAGGCCACAGGCGAGGTGTGCTCATCGAGCTTCGCCACACTTCGCCGTGCTGAGTGATATCTGCTCGAGCTTTGCAGATTGTTGCCCTCAAGAAGCTCAAGATGGACCAAGAGAAGAACGGCTTCCCGGTCACATCCCTGCGTGAGATCAAGACGCTCCTCGCCTGTTCAGCTCACGAGAACATCGTTCGTGTGCGCGAAATCGTCGTCGGCGACACATTGACCCAGTAAGTCCAGCGATGTACGACAGAGACCAGTCTGACACGCACAGACAGGGTCTTCATCGTCATGGACTTCATAGAGCACGGTATGGGTCCTCGCATTCAGTCGAGACGAAAGCTAACAGAGCGACATAGATCTCAAGACACTCTTGTCAACGATGAAGACACCATTCCTCGCGTCCGAGATCAAGACACTCATGCTCCAGCTCCTCTCGGCTTGCCAAATGTGCCATGATAACTGGATCGTCCATCGAGACCTCAAGACAAGCAATCTTCTTATGAACAACAGGTCCGTCTGGCCACAGTGAGCCCGGCCTTAGCTCACAAAAGTCGGACTTGCAGAGGTCAAATAAAAGTCGCCGACTTTGGACTCGCGCGTACTTACGGAGAGCCGCTTGGAGATATGACCCAGCTCGTAGTGACGCTTTGGTACAGGTAAAGTCCAGATGTTTTGCTCAGCGTAGCTGATCAGTAGGACCGTACCATCAGAGCTCCGGAACTCCTTCTGGGCACCGACGACTATTCGACTGCTGTCGATATGTGGTCTGTCGGTTGCATCTTCGGCGAGCTCATCCTCAAGGAGCCTCTTCTGCCCGGTAAGGGGGAGATCGACCAGATCAACAGGGTCTGTCCACGTCGTGTCCTTGCGTGCGTCTGCTCAATTTGGATCGATAGATTCTGCAGCTCCTGGGGAGGCCCACCGAAGATATGTGGCCTGGGTTCAGCAAGCTACCAAACGCAAAGGCGCTCAATCTCGACGCAGTACAACCGTAAGCCGGCAGGCCGACGTGACGAACACTTACATACGTTCACATTAACAGGTTCTCTAAGCTACGGGCCATATTCAAGTACACGACCGAAGCTGGGCTGGATCTGTTGTCAAAATTGCTGCGCTACGACCCGAAGCAACGTATCACGGCGGAAGAAGCACTGAAGCATCCTTATTTCAGGTAAGCAATTCTGCCTTTGACCAGTGTATACTCATTCGGCGCCGCAGTGAATCGCCCTTGCCAAAGCATCCAGATCTTTTCCAGAGCTTCCCATCCATCGCAGGAGGCGAAAAGTGCGGTGCGACTGCTATAGCGAGCGACGGCAAGACTGATTGGTCTGAGCAGAAAACGAGCATTCGCAAGTCCCTCAGCCCCAACAAGGCAAGCCGACAAGGACCAGTTTGATCTCGTGCATGATTTCGGGTTTGTATAGATGCACACAGACCGCCATGCTACCGACAAAACGTGCAATAGTGGTCCTTCTGATCGCTTCCCAAGAGCTGATCAGGTACAAGTGCGACTGAGTCAGACCGACGTCAACAGGCGCGCGTGAAATCATTGGTCAAACTCTCGTGAGCGCTTTGGGTCCTTTCAATGCAGCCTGTCTGTCATGTGCTTTCTTTCAATAATAGTGGAATAAGTGATTAGGCTCCGTTCTTTTGATGCTGAGGTAGATAAGATCGTCAAAAATAAGAGGCGAAGAGGTATCAAGTGAGGTTTTCGCAGTTGACAGAGGGATGTGAAAATCTTTAAAGTAGTGGTGTGTTTGTAGCCCTTGCTCGGCAGACAGGGTATGCGATGACGTATCGTCATCACGCCTGCCAAGTCCCATTGCCAGAGGCTTATGCGGCAACGGCGAAGAGGGCAGCGCCGATGAGTCCGGCAAGGCCGACCTTGATATTGTTTGCTCCGCTGGTGGCCGCTGCCGACGAAGTGGCAGCTGCAGCAGGCGAAGAAGCGCTGCTGGCAGCCATAGTGGCCATTGACGTGGCGCTAGTCATCATCGAAGAGCTAGCTCTGTATTGACACCCATTAGATTGAATTCATGCAAGGCTTGAAGAGACGCACGAGGACATCGCCGACGAGGCAGACGAAGAGCTGCTTGCCGCCGATGATGATGAGGCAGGCGCAGACGAGGCAGATGAAGCTGCTGCGGAGCCCGTCGAAGAGCTGCCAGCAGCGCCGCCGGCAGCGCCAGCTGCGGTAGTGGCCGAGCTTGCACCGGACGATGCGCTCGAGCTGCCACTTGCGTCAAGGATAGTGCGCTCGGAAGAGTAATTGACGGCGCCAGTGCCGTCTCGGATCGAAAGCGTTACGCTCGTGCCCACGGGAATATCAACGTTCCTGCCGGCAAAGTCGTGATGAGCGACTGCATGCCGTAGGCGGCCATACAAGACTTACCATGTGTACGAGCCGGCAGTCTGCTGGGTTGGGAAAGTCTCGAGAGCGGCAGCAGCGGTCTGTCCGCCGGGCAAGACAGCTATCGACAGAATATGTGTCAGCACATTGGATACGGCTCCATACACGCCGGTTCTAACGTACAGATGAAGTATGGTGCCGTGCCCTGTTTAGCAGAAGCAATGATATCAGTACCATGTCATACGAGCAGGACCGGTGTTAAAGAGCCATGGCAGGGTTTGCCACCAGACTGCAGAGGGCGGTCAAGGAGCGGACGTCTCTGGCACAATGCGGGACGAACTGTGGAAAGCGATGAACTTACACCAGAGTAGCTGAGCAGGGCCGGTTGGCCGAAGACGAGGGCAGCGGGTGTGTTGATGATAGCCTGGGCTGATGCGAGGGCGGCCATCGAAGTGGCCACAAGGGCAGAGTAGACACTGAATCTCATCTTGGTAGACGTCTAGGGATGTGAAGCTTCTCCGGATGAGTGTCGTGCGGTGTGACGAGTGCGATGAAAGGTATCAAGCTGAGTGCTCCCTGAAGAACGAAAGGGTTGGGTAGATTGAGCTTGAGTTTTGATAGAGACAACAACAGGGCCCTGCTCGGTCGTACTCGTAATCCTTCTTGTGTCTCACAAGGGAGTCGAGATAGAGAGAGCAGGGCGATGGAGGTGCTCACCTTCTTATACGATTCTTGACCGTCGAGATCGGTCGAGAAGTTGCAGAATTCCGCTGGCTTGGCCCGCCCGGCGTGCTATGCTTGCAGGGGGCGTCATCTATTCTTCAGTGACTCGCGGTCATAAATCCGCTGGGAAGATCAATTTGATCGCCCAGCCGAGCGCAGCACAGCATGTGTCACAAGGCGCAGCGCTAACAAGTCATAAAGCTCTGAAGTAAATCACAAACCGTGCCTGCTGATCGCACTGTCTGCCGACGAGGCAGCCACGTGACAAGTGCTGATCGTGCGTCTTGCAATTGCTGAAGAAATGAGCGAGAGCACGGCTGACGACGCACGAGGGAGCAGAGCACTCGTATGCGCGTCGATCTCGTCTCCTTTGGTGGATGAGAGGGGCTCGCTTGGCTGGCGAGCGTCTAGCACACCGTACACAGTTTCTCCGTCCGCCGTTCATCTTGCTTGGCGGCAGACATGGCTTTCAACTCAGAGAGGTCCACACATCTAATTCTCGCTCGACAATATCCTCGTCTGCTCTCGAAGACGCCCGAGCGCTGATTGATCGTCTCGGCAGATCCGAAGAGCCATTCCAGACTGTGCAGCCAGATACAGACTGGCCAGATGTATCATTGAACAGGCGCAAGCTCGCAACATTGAGAGAGACGGGCGAGCTGGAGCGTCAATGGTCGCAAAGAAGGGCTCACTTTGCACTCGGAGCCTACGATGATTCGGAGCGAACCAAATCTGAGCTCTCTGATTGGAGGAGCCTTGAATCAGATCTGAACAAGCTTATCGGACGACTACAAATAGAGCTCAAATGCACGAGGAGTGACGATCTTTTGGCTATGCTCAAGACGCTCAAGCCGCACCAAACGCAGTGTAGAAGCCGCTTGCGCTCCCTGCAAGCTCGCTACAACCATGAAGCGCTGCAGACGGTCAATTTGAGCCACCCAGACTCACCTATCGGCAACGAAACGAACAATCGCGTCGTCCGCACATTTGGCACAGCACCCGCCAGAGGTAGTCCGGATCCCTCTCGCGACCATCTAGCCTTGGCAGCCCGACTGAGAAGTCAGACTCTACGTCCGAGCTGGCTTGATCCTGAGTCCGGCCTCAAGACGACAGGCACGCGATTTTATTTCCTTCGCGGCGAAGCGGCGGTGCTCGAGTCCGCCCTGATCAACTACGCAATATCGACTGTGACGGCTGCCGATGATGGCTGGCAGTACTGCACGGTGCCTGACATCATCAAGACGAGCTTGGCTGAGCGATGCGGCTTTCTGCCCCGGGATGACGCCAGCCAGACTTACTTCGTCTCTACCGGCGCGTCTGTCAGGGCTGACGAAAGACATAGCTTGGCTCTGGCGGGTACTGCAGAGATACCGTTAGCGGGCTCTTCAAGCGGCGTGCATCCTCTCGCGGCTCTGCCTTTGAAAGCACTCGGCCTCGGTCGCGCCTTCAGGTCGGAAGCGGGCTCAAGAGGTCTTGCCTCGCGCGGTCTCTATCGTGTGCATCAGTTCAGCAAGCTCGAGATGTACGTCGTGTGTAGACCAGACAAGAGCGATGAGATGCTCGAGGAGCTAGTCGCACTGCAAGAGACCATCCTCGTCCCGCTTGGACTGACACTGAGGTACGTCAATGCTCATCCTGTCACACTCGTGCTTATTCCAGGAACCGTAGGACGCTCGACATGGCGACAGAGGAGCTTGGCGCCTCGGCATATCGCAAATATGACATCGAGGCCTGGATGTCAGGCCGAGGCGATTGGGGCGAAGTGAGCTTTCGACTGGTCCCACGAAGCTATACTCATTCCGGTGCAGCTTGCGTCTGCATCAAATTGCACAGATTACCAGGCGCGGCGGCTGGGCATTCAGTATCAGCCTGAGCCCGCAGACGGCAAAAAGTTACCGCTCGAGTATGCACATACGCTCAACGCTACCGCTCTCGCTGTCCCTCGGGTCATACTTGCCCTTATTGAGCAGGGTCTGCACTTGGATGGTGATGACAAGCACTTTGCTCTCCCCGCCGTCCTCAGACCCTTTTGGCTGGGTAAACACGTCATTGCCTCGGACGATGGCGATGTACCAATACGATGGATCAAGCGCGAACAGCCATAGTGAAGCTCTATGCATCCCGCTTTGCGCGCAACATGCTGATCTATCAACTCGTAGCCTTGTGCAAGGATTCTGCGAGATGCTTGATGTTATGAGGCGTCACACCGGCAACTGAGATTCTGCCATCCTTGGTCAAGTAGACGTGATGCTCGTTCTTGAGCTTCTCGACAACTTCAGGCGATATGCCTAGGAACGCAAACATGCCTGCCGGTCGACCAGACTGTCTCAGTATCCGAGCGTGGTCTGCAAAAGACAATGAGCCTACCGATTTGCGAGACAATGTGGTCCCAATTATGCTTGCTGCCAGACTCTTCCAGCAGCTTTTTGAGATCTGAGCGCATGCCAATGATACGGTCTGCCATTCCCTTGACTTCCTTGAGCCACTCGTCATACAGAGCAGGGTCAGCCAAGATTGAACCAGCAATCCTTGCACCGTGCACTGGCGGGTTCGAGTAGAGCGGTCGAACGATGATCTTGATTTGGCTGTCCACCCGAGCTTTCTCTTCGGGCGAGGAGCAGACGACGGAGAATGCGCCGACGCGTTCGCCGTAGAGACCCATATTCTTTGCGAAAGATTGCGACAGGATGATTTCGAGACCTTGTTCGACAAAGTAGCGGGGCGCAAAAGCATCGCCGTCTACGTCGCCGGATGCGAAGCCTTGGTAGGCCATATCGAAGAAGGTAAAATGTTCCTTTTCCTGATGATGCATGGGTCAGCCATAGGGCGCGCAAAGCTGCGAAGCGATCACCTTGATGACCTGGGCAATCTTCTTCCATTGGTCTTTCGTAGGATCAACGCCTGTCGGGTTGTGCGCACAAGCATGGAGAAGGATGATCGACTTGTTCGGCGCGGCCTGTCAGCAACAGATTTGGCTCAGCTTGTGTTATGTTGAAGAAGAGAGTTGCTGTACCTTGATGTCGTTTATCATGCCATCAAAATCGAGGCCGACAGTCTTCTTGTCATAGTACGCATAGTGCTTGACTTCGAGACCAGAATCCTTGAAGATGGGGATATGATTACCCCAAGTCGGGCTGGGCAGATAGATCGATTTTGAGTGAGGATAGTGTCGCTGCAGGAAAGCACCGCCAATCCTCAATGCACCCGTACCCGAGATAGACTGAGTGATGGCAATCTGCATTGCAAGAGATGAGGCTCATCAGACACAACTATCAGTGAGCAGACGCACTCTGTTCTCCTTGACGGGCAAGCTATCTTTGCCGTAAGCAAGGATGGCGGCGTTCTTTGTAAAATCGGCGTAGCCCGTGATGGGCAAGTACTCCTTGTCTCCTTTCTTAGCAATGACTGCTTCCTCTGCCTGTGCGCAGATCGTCAGTCTGCGGCGAGCGATAGCGCAGGCGATCGTACCTTTCTCACAGATGGCAAAACGTAAGGCTTGCCGTTCTCATCTCTGTACGCTCCCACGCCGAGGTTGATCTTGCGAGAGTCTTTGTCGGCCTTGAAAGCCTCAGTGACACCTTGACATTGCAAGCGAGGTCAGCGTACGTCGAGCTTTAGCTACAGCATGCAAGCTCACCGAGAATAGGATCGGGAGGACCGGCAGGGACGTTCGCCCAAGTCTTGACGCCCCTTGCGCTCAGTGTAGCTTGCAAGGCTACACTCGAGCGTGGCACGGCTCTGCAGAGCGCCTGTCGTGCTATCATCCTGCAAGACAATCTCTCAAAGCAAGTCGGCAATGGCTCGAGTCGCGTCGGCAATTCAGCGCGACGGCTGATTCTCATACAGGCTTGGGCTAGGTGGCGACTCAGCAAGGCGAAGCTCTCACAGTCATAGCCGGGCGAGATCAGGTGTGCGAGTGCGAAGGAGTAAACATGGAATAGCGTGCACTCGGACGCCTACAAGTCTGCATCATCTTCGTCGGGCAAAGGAGCCGCAGCGGCATTGTTGAGCTCTTGCTGGTACTGAGCCATCAAGTTGGCGTCCACCTGGACCTCTGGCGGTGCAAGCGCCGGCGCTGCTGTGAACTCTAGTTGCGCATTGCTGTGATATGAGAAGGCGTCAGCGAGACGGAGCTGATGACTCTGGTCAGGACTTACCCTGCAAGCTTGCGAGCTAGCCACAGGAAGGGCTTTTCGAAATTGTAGTTGGACTTTGCTGAGATTTCGAAGTATTGTAGGTTCTTCTTGCGGTGGAACGTCACTGCGCCCGTCTTGACCTTGCGCTCCTGGAGAGGGCCAGAGAGCGTCAATAAATGTCATGGCGCTGAGACGAAGAGGAGCTCGCCTTGACATCGACCTTGTTGCCACAGAGGACAATCGGAATATTCTCGCAGACGCGTTCTAGGTCGCGATGCCAGTTGGGAACGGACTTGTATGTGATCTTGGCCGTCACATCGAACATGATGATGCCACATTGTCCCTGCAAGTCGCGGGCCTGTCTCAGCAACAGAGCCGGTGAGCGACAGACACAAAACTCGCCTGGATGTAGTAGCCATCTCGGAGACCGCCAAACTTCTCCTGGCCTGCAGTGTCCCAGACGTTGAAGCAGATCGGTCCAAAGTTGGTGTGAAACTGCAGCGGGTGGACTTCGACGCCGAGCGTAGCTGTTGCACCACATCAATCTCGTCAGCTCCTCGTGCTTGCCGTGACTTTAGACCGCCGACCAATGTATTTCTGGCAGCGATCGGCTCGTCAGCTACCGTCTACAGCATACCATCAGACCAGTGCACACCTTTTCAAATTCTCCCGTCAAGTGACGCTGCAGACGAGGCAAAAGAGTTAGTGCAAGTCACCGTCTGCGCGACGTTGTGGAGCGTGCCTTGACAAATGTCGTCTTGCCCGTGCTAGCGATGAGCTCAAATCCATCAGCACAGAGCCTTACACATGTGCGCCTACGCACCCTCCGTCGCCGACTGTGGGAACGAGCTCATCAGCAAAAGTCAACGCAACGCCTTCAGCAAGTGACGTACCGAGCACAAGCTTGAACTGCGGCATCTGAGCTGCTGCGTCCGTCATGTCGGGCAGGTCTAGAAGCGACGATCTTGCTGTCAGTCACAGTGCAGGATGGCAAGCCTTTTGCCTGAGGAGCGACTTGCCTGCGATTTCGAAGCGCAACTCCCAAACTGTTCTGCGCGAATTTTGGCCAAGTCGATTAGATCAACTTGACGGTGGTCGCTGTAGCTTGACACCGTGGGCGCGTCTGCACTGGGCGGCTTATCACTCGACTGGTCTGCCCAGTCGCCAAGCATGCCGCACGCAAAAGTGCCCTCGATCAGCGTCTCCAACGATTCTCCAGACAGACAAGGCTCGGATGCTCGTGGCCGCACGATGAGTGACGAAGGACTTGCGCCTGTGACTGCCAGCGACTTGCAGAGGAGCCTCTCTCGTGACTCTAGTCGGGGCCGAACGAGCACCAAGGACAAGATAAAGGGGATGTTCAGTCGATCGAGATCACCCTCGCCCTATGCTCGCTCACAGCCTCGATCGCCTTCGCCCAAGCGGTTGGGCTCGGGCAGCTCGGCAGAGCGTCTGGCTGCGAGCGAGTCCGAGCAGCTCAGTGACTCTGATGAGGACGCAAAGGGAAAGCGAAAGATCGGCGGGATAGTACCCAGCAATGCCTTTGTGGATAGCGATGATGACCTCACGCTCGTCGAGGATGACTCGCTCGACGTGGACGACGACGACGACGATGAGCTCGACCATGCGCTCTTGGCGAACACAGAGGTCAGCTGATAGTGAATGATGCTGACCCGATGGCGTCCTGAGATCTGGGGCTTGACAGGCCAACATGGCTTCTTACTCGGACGCATCGTCTTTCTTGGCCGCTTCTCAGCCCTCGCTCGTGCCAGAACCAGGCTACAGCATGACATTCGAGGGCGAGGGACCCAACCTCGTCTCCCATGGCACTGCGCCCCTTCAGAGCAAACCATCTGTCGACAAGTTCGCAGACGGTCGACCCAAGCCTCGTCGTCAGCGCACGCTCTTGCGCGAGGGACACGCAGAAGTGAAACAGTCTCGACCGGAGTTCAAGCGCAACAGATGCTCCATCGTGCTCACGCATGGAGACTTGTACGTCACTCCATGGCGTCATCAGACCGTGCTCATATGCTCGGCTGCCTCCATAGCGAACAAGCGCAGGAGGACTCGAAACGACCGAGGCTCTACCTTGTCGCGTCTGATCTGTCTGTCGAGTCGGAATATGCCATCGAATGGGGTCAGCCTGCCTGTCCTCGGCGCAGCAAATGAATGACTGATCGATCCCTTTGCTCAGCAATCGGCACAGTCTTGCGCAACGGTGACGAGTGCATGATCGTGTCAGTCATAGAGACAGAGTCAAAGCGTACGCTCGTACCTCAATCGTACCGGACGTCACGCTGATTGGCGCTGGGCCTGCAGTCGATAGCGAGAATCAGTCAGACAAGACCCACAAGATTCGCTGCCAGCAGGACAGACAGCGACAGGCACTCAAGCTTGCAAAGATTGCTACCAGCCTGCTCGAGCGCACACGATTGAACGTGCAGTGAGTCATCGCGGAAGGCCTCTTTGCTATGCTCAGACAGCGTGATAGGATCACATGCCAGGCTGTGCATGCGAAGAACAGTCGGCATATGCTCATCGACATGGCACGCTACTTCTGCTACAGATTTGCATCGATATAGCTGATGCATGAGCGATCGAAACAGATTGACTTCCTCGAGCCTACAATGGTGATCATCGGTTCGCGAGGACTGGCGAAGCTCAAGGGGTCAGCTCTCATCGTTGCAGTTTCTCCCTCGCGCTGAACTTGCCTGCTGTCTGCGCAACAGCATGTTGCTTGGCTCTGTCTCAAACTATCTCATCCAGAAAAGCTCTGTACCCGTCATGGTCGCAAGGCGACGGCTCAGGCGGCCTCAGGTGGTCCACAAGAAGATGTCGACGCTCAACCATCAGGCCCGAGTTTCGCTTGCAGAGGCTCAAGTCGAGAAGGACGCCAACACGGGCACAGTGACATCTCAATCAGACGCAGAGGCCGAAGAAGCCTCTGCTCGTCCGAGCGAAGAAGGCGGAATGTACGAAGCCGAGCTGAGTGAGAACGTCTCGTCAGTCTCGCTCGAGGGAGCTCGTTAGATTGTTGCTTGCTTGCTTGCAAACTTGCATCGTGTTGTACACCATGTACATCCTTTCGTCTCGCTCGTTCATGAGGACCGCCATATCATGCCAGACACGACCTCGAACAGAAACGGTGCTGCTGAGACCATCAGTACACCGAGAGCGCCATCGGGTCGCCGGCCACTGACCTAGCCTCAGCGCGACGATGTGGCCGAGGAAGAGCCTGATCGTGGATCTTGCTTGCACTTTAGACAGTGCGCTCTGTGCAGCACTTGGCCCCTGAGGTTCTTGACGGATTGGCATGATCGAGCTCAGCTACTCCTTCACTACTCCGGCGTTCCGGTCCTGCTCACCTTGGAACATAATCGGTCGCCGCTAGCTTCAACAGAGAGCACGAGCTGTCAAGTATCTCCACAAGCAATCCGCTCCAAGTCCGCTCGAGTGAGATCGTCCAGCGCTCGCTTTGTGATTTCGAGGAAAGATCGCTCGAGCAGCGCGTCAAATGGCCGCACGCCACGCCTTTCGGAGCTCGGCTTGAGCTAGCCTCGGCGACCCGCTAAAAGGGGAGGAGATATTCGCTCGAGAGCCGCTGCGCTCTTCGATCAACGCCCGCATCGCAAAAACGACGTGTCGAGCGGAAGGTATACCCCATCCACCTCGTCAACCGTCAGCCTGAGCCTCGCCCGCTCACCCCTCGCTGTCGAGACGACCTCACCTCATTCGATCCATTGCTGCTCGAATCGGTCGAATTTCGTCTTTGCTGACTCGGATCTCCCTCAGATATGTACGGCCTGACCGTTCCGACTTTCGCTGAGCTCGCTACTGACGTTGGTGCCAGACAGCTGCAGATCAGGCCAGGCGCCCCTGTCTGGGTCACTCTGACTGTCGACTTTGCCGGCTAATCAGCGCAAAAGTCGGGCGAACCTATCTCGCATTCATGTCCATATAGACTCCTTCAGAGAGTCTTCCCATTGCCAAAAGTCGCGCTAGGAGCAAGCGTGAGTCAGCTGCCATTGCTGCTTTCCTGCCGACATGCTGATGTTGCTCAACAGACCAGCCGTCATGTCGCTCTCTCGCTTGCTCAACAAAGACGATGCCCCTACTGGACCTTCGCGAGTAGTAGCTCCACCTCGTGTTCCCACCGTCGCCTCGCCTTTCTCGACGCCTGCACAAGCTCAGGCGCCCATCGCGCCCAACGGCGATCCTGCACGGCGTACGGCACACATGGTCCCTCCGTCAGCTTGGACGGAAGAAGACGCAGCCCGATCGCTGTCCCTCCTTGCCAATGCAGGCGCTTCGAGCTTTGCATTTCCAAGCAATGGCGGCCGTACCATCCATTCTGCCGCCTCTTTGCGATCTACAAGCCCACTGACGACCTACAAAGTACCAGAGAGACGCAGAGACAGTCAAAACGACGTCGTCATGGACGATACGGACGACAGCGACGATGACGATGGCCCCAGCGCCGCCTTCCAAGCCCGCGCCCATACCTCTACGCCGCGGACCTCTATCGCCGATCTCACTTCGCAGAGACCGGGCGCCATCTCGGTCAATCCTGCGTATGCCTCAACGAGCACCAGGGGACCCTTGAGCAATGGTAGGCCGTCGGGCTCTAATGGTCGAGCGCGGAAGAGCTCGCGCTCAGCCTCAGCAAAGGATTATGCAGAAGCTATGCCAGCCTATGTAGAGCCAGAGACAGCAGATGACGAGTCGATGGCCGACAGCTTCACGAGTGGTATGTCAGCCGTCAAGGCAGGCAAAGCGAAAGCGCCTCGCAAGAGGAAGGAGAAACCCGGCGCTGCTACTTCACCCGCCAAAGCCCCCGAAGAACCAGAGATTGTCGAAGAAAGCACGCTTGACTTGGACAGTCTCGTTCAGCAGCAGTCCGATCTCATCACCCGTCAGGACATCTGGCAACCTGCTTTGCAAACCTATATCGAATCTCTCCGCGCAAATGAGCTCGCTCTCATCGACGGCTTCAACCGACGCGAGAACAAGTTCGCTTACGAGACAGCTCTGCGCGTCATGACCCAAGCTGCCTCGACACTGGATGCTCACGAAGGCAGAGCCCCAGAGACGGTCATCACTGACGATGATCTGATTGCTTATGCGCACACTTGGCAAGATCGCCCACCCACTGGCTCGGGCGTGGAAGCATTCAATCTCCGCCAGCGCTTCCCGTATCCGGACGTCAGGGAGACTCCAGAGCCCCAAGAAGCTGCCTCAGCACTGCTCCTGTTGGCTAACGAAGCCACACGGCCTGCAGCTACCGAGCGCATACCTTCCGAAGTCAAACCAAAGCCAAGTCAGCTCGTTCAGGATGCGCACGCCCCAGCTCATCTGACAGAGAGCGATGCCTTCCTCGCCCATCAGCTTGCTGCAGAAGAGGCAGCCTTAGCCGAAGACGGTAGCTCACGCCGGCGAACTTCTCGTGGGATGACGTCTCGTCAGGATGCGCTCGCCCTCGATACCGACAAGGACTATCGAGCTCCGAGGAACCGAAGCAAAACGAGCCGCGATGCTGCGACTCAGCGATGGAGCAGCATACAGTCTGCGGAAGATACCGTCTGGTCCCAGATCGCCAAGGTTCACTTGCCTCGCGCTTATCGTATGCAACAAGCCGGCGCGGCCAGTCGAGTGCTTTTCGCGAGGCGCATCTCGACCGTCACTACTCGAGAAGCTCGACGGTTTCTCAACCGCACGCGAGCCCCAAAGGAATTGCAGATCAAGGGCAAGCGAGTGTCAAGAGAGGTGCTCACATTTTGGCGAGGCAATGAGAAGCGCGATCGCGATGATCGTAGGACTGCAGCGAGAGAGGTCGAGCTCAAGATCAAAAAGGAGGAAGAAGCACGAGAATCGAAGCGCCAGGCTAGGAAGCTCAATTTCTTGATCACGCAGACTGAGCTCTACAGCCATTTCGTAGGCGACAAGCTCAACACTTCAGCCGCCGAAGAGTCTGCAGAGACCGAGCCCGCGGCTCAGGTCATCGCTCCGGGCGCCATAGCAGAGCTCAAAGACACTCCAATGGCAGACGCAGAGACTGGCGAGCTCAATTTTGACGACGATGATGATGCGGCGCTGCATGCTCAAGCTCGTCGCAACGCTCAGGAGGCCGTCAATGCTGCCAAACTACGGGCGCAAGCCTTTGACGAAGCCGCCTCGGCTCGCGTGGGGCCTAAAGTGCCTACAAATGCGCTCGACTTTGATGCCGATGATCTCAACTTTCAAAACCCGAGTTCGCTGGGCGATAACCTCACCGCGCAGCCAACGATACTTACTGCACAGCTCAAGCCTTATCAGATCAAAGGCTTGACTTGGCTCGGCAATCTGTACGAGCAAGGTATCAATGGTATCCTTGCAGACGAGATGGGCTTGGGCAAGACAGTTCAATCCATCTCTCTGATGGCCTATCTTGCAGAGACACACAATATCTGGGGTCCCTTCCTTGTCATCGCCCCCGCATCGACGTTGCATAACTGGCAGCAAGAGCTGACTCGGTTCGTGCCTACCATGAAGACAATTCCTTACTGGGGCAGCGTCAAAGACCGGACAATTTTGCGTAAGATCTGGAACCGCCGCGGCCAGCGATTCGACAGGGACTCTGCCTTTCACATAGTTGTCACAAGCTATCAACTAGTTGTGCAAGACATCACTTATTTCCAGCAGCTCAAGTGGCAATATATGATACTCGATGAAGCTCAGGCTATCAAGAGCTCATCGAGTGCGCGGTGGAAAGCTTTACTTGGCTTGCCCTGTCGCAACCGACTACTCTTGACGGGAACGCCGATACAAAACTCGATGCAAGAGCTTTGGGCGCTCCTTCACTTCATCATGCCAAGTTTGTTCGATTCGCATGACGAATTCAGCGAATGGTTTTCCAAAGGCATTGAATCGAAATCAGAAGATGACGGTAAGATGAATGAGCATCAACTCAGGCGGTTACACATGATTCTCAAGCCGTTCATGCTGCGACGCATTAAGAAGAATGTCCAGAACGAGCTGGCAGACAAAGTAAGCTTATTCAGCTGGTCTGAAGAGCATGCTGATTTGCCGCGACCAGATCGAGGTGGACGTATATTGTGACCTGACCCCACGGCAACGCGCAATGTACAAGATTCTGCGCGAAAACATGCACATGTCGGATCTGCTCAAGCGAGCCACAAGTCTCAAAGAAGACGACGACTCTGCAAAACGGCTGCTTAATCTGATTATGCAGATGCGCAAGGTGCGTCACATTCGCGCGTTCAGGCGGCAAATACTGATGAACCTAATGTAGCTCTGCAATCATCCTGAGCTCTTCCAGAGGGCCGATGTGACTGGCTCGTGGTCCTTCTGCTCCTTCAACTCGACACTTTCGCTTATGCGTGATCCCGACACGCTGGTGGTGCCATATGCGGCGACAAGCCCGATCAAATACAGATTACCAAAGCTGCTTTATCGTCAGCCGACGCCAGAAGGCGCTGAAGTTCCCATTCGGCCCCACGACGAAGCAGATCACCTCAGTCGACTCTTCAATCTGCGACGGCCTGCAGCAGTCAGTATGGAACGCATGGACATCGAGTATGCCGCCGATCGCATCGAGACTGGCCTGAAGACTATCATATTGGAGAAAGCGCACACATCCCGACTTGCGCAGTCGGACATGCAATTTTACATCCCAGCCGTCTCTGCGCCTCCGGTCGAGATATTTTGTCCAGATCAGAGCTTTGTCATCGATCAATCGCAGATGCTCTTCAATCCGAAGCTTCGCACGATGCTGTACGGCTGCCAAGGCCCTTCAGAAAATGATACTGCGGCTATTGAGACACTCAAGTGGCGTCAACCGCTCTTATCCCCAGCTGGTCTGCTTTCGGAGCTGCCCAACATCCAGAGACCACGGCCGCCGATGGAAGTCCCCCAATTAGCAAAATTGATTCTCGAGTCTGGCAAGCTGGCAAGGCTCGATACTCTCTTGCAAGAGCTCAAGGCGGGCGGTCATCGCGTCTTGATCTACTTCCAGATGACGCGCATGATAGACTTAATGGAGGAATACTTGGCATTCAGGCAGCACAAGTACTTGCGCCTGGACGGCAACTCGGACATCTCCGAACGACGCGATCTCGTCATCGACTGGCAGACGCGGCCAGACCTGTTCATCTTCTTGCTCAGCACACGTGCGGGTGGTCTGGGCATCAATCTGACAAGCGCAGATACTGTCATTTTCTACGACTCTGATTGGAATCCATCGAATGATGCCCAAGCTATGGACCGCGCGCATAGAATCGGCCAAACGAAGCAAGTGACGATATACCGCTTGATAACTAAGGGCACTGTCGAGGAGCGCATACTGAACCTCGCGCGAGCGAAGAAGGATGTTCAGGACGCCGTCGTTGGCTCCAGCACGCAGCACGTCGACGTTCCAAAACAGAGCGAAGTGGTGTCTCTCCTGCTGGAAGAAGAAGAGGGCATCTCTCGTGTGGCTACTGCCGATCGCGGCACACGGACAAGCAACTTCAACAATTGGAGCAACGAAGACGATGAGGATGCAATGGGCTTTTTCTCCGCCGCAAAGAACAACGGCATGGCTACTGAAGACGCTGAGGACGATATCGATATCGCGAAAGCTTCAGAGGCGCCGAGCGGTGCGAAACGACAGAAGACCGGTAAGTCGAGGAGCGGCAAAAGCGATGCAGTGCAGCGACAGAGGGCTCCGAAAGGCGAGGGTACGCGGATTCGCAAGCGCAAGCCAGCCACCGAAACGCCTTCTGTGCACCAGTCTACAGGCACCTCGACGCCGGACGACCACACATCAACCGCAAGCGCGAGCGTAATCGCATTCTAGAGTTGTTTACAACAGTTGCAAATGCTTCACGACGCATCTTTGCCCAGCCCGAAACCGTCTACAATGACGTTCAGCCTTTGGCCGTCGTCTGAGAGGCATTTCGCGAGGTGATCCAGCGTCTTTTGCTGTTGCGTGAGGATCTGTTGCTTTGAATTGTCAGTCTAAGGCCCTCGACGGCAGACAGCACCAGACTTGCCTGCGAGATCTTGGCAAGGTCGTCATCGCTGATAGCAATCAATTCGATCTGCTCTGTCTTGCCATATGCTGTCTGCAGGGCGCGTCGTTGCGCGGCTATAACAGAAAGTTCGCTGACTGTCGAAGCCAATTGGCCGCCGCCTGCTTCTCGATAGACATCTTGCGGCCTGCGACCCGTGAAGTCGACATAGAGCTGATCTACACGCGTCTTGAGCTCCTCTTCCTCTCTTCGTAGCGCAGACGAGCGCATGGGTGTGATTGGGTGTATCCTCGAGACCAGACGCACAAGCCGGGCTGACAAAAGCACTTGCGCTTGTGCGACCCTCGACAAGCGCAAAGACGTCTCTAGCGTGTACTTTTTGCCCACTTTCTCTAGATGATTGAAGATCTCCTGCTCACGATGTTGATGTGGGCTTCTGTGGTAAGTGGACGACGTACATTCAATTTGCTACTATGCGCGACTGCTTGACGCTCTTGGGCTGCAACTCGTTTTGCGAGGTCGTCAAAGCCTATTGCAAGCGCAGGCACCATACAAGACGGATCTGGGTTCTCTCGTACAGCCTTGTGCCAGGCCGCATCGTTCGTAGCGTTGGCAGGCCGCTGGTAATACTGGACTTGCGCAGGATCGACCATGTTGTAGAAGAAATACTGGAACGCGCATTGTGGGCTTGCCGGGTCCCACTTTTCCTTTATCGATATGACACGCTGCTCAATGGGCTGCTCTCCAGGTGCCAAAGGTTTGCCTGCTGCTACGAGACTTGCTCCCAGCGCCGGCAAGGGTTGCTGCTGCTGCTGCTGCTGCTGCTGCTGCTGCTGCGCTGCTGTCGCGTGGCTGCTCGGAGCTGTTTGACCTGGTCTAGAGCCAAAGAGTCCGCTGGGCGCTCCTGTGGCCGTTGATTGTCCCAAATTGCCGAAGAGCCCTCCGCTTGCGCTCGACGGTGTACTGCCGAACAGTCCGCCTTGCTGGGCATTCGCTGTCGATCCGAAGCCGCCAAAGCCTGTAGAAGCTGCTGGCTGCTGCTGTGTCTGCTGTGTACTTGTGCCTAGACCGCCGAAGCTGAATGCTGGCTTGGGAGCAGCAGCGGTCGAAGAAGCGGCAGCATTGCCAAAGGAGAAGCCGCCCGGGGCACTGCTTTGCTGGGCTGGCTGGCCGAGTGAGAAGCCTGTCGTCGGCTGACTTGCTGCTGGTGCTGGCGTGCCAAATGAAAAGGCCGGCTTGGAGGTCGACGCTGCACCAAAGGCTCCTGCGTCATGTCAGACCGAGCGGCAATTGCTATTGATCAGCAGACTCGTACCTTGACTTGCGCCTGCGGTCACACGCGTCAGATGAGGTATAGTCGGATAGCTTATGACTCACCAAACATGTTGTACTGCACCACCTAGATGCTACGCGCAAGTCTGCTCAGATCAGATCGCTTCGCCTCAGGTTCAATTTCAGCTGCCAGCACGCGACTGTCGGCTCGCGTGGACGCTCTGCACAAACAGTGCAAGATGTCATGCCAGATTGGCGCACCGGAACGAGCTTCCTCCGGCGCTCCAGTGCGACGTGCGAAGCTATGCAGGATTCGTACATGAGCGAACACCAGACTTTAGCCTTCGATTGGAAGGCGATTGCTTTTCCTCAGAAGCTTGACAATACTCTCATCATATTGTAGCCGACGCAACCAACATGTATTACCGGTAACGTAAAAAGCCAAAGCAGATTTGTACTGAAGACTTGCCCACCTTGCCATAGCAAACGAGTTCCATCTACCGTAAGAACAGGTGGCGTCCCCGCGCGGCGAAATAGTGTTACACAAGCTAACCTCTGAAAGGGCTCTCGTGCGTATGGCTTACGCTATGGACATGTAACGCTGGCCAGAATGAACCCAAATGGTACAAATATCTGATTATCGCCTTTTAGCAATTTGTAGAGATGCTCAACGCATTCCGTAGTGTCTCGCTGCTGGCCAGCGGATGTGACTTGCAAGGCATCTTCTGATGATGCTCGTAGTCTATGGTCTGACCGAAACTGCTCTCGCGGTCTCTGCTCGATCAGACAAGATCGTTGAGGCTCGTTCAGAATATCGCGCAGGCTGACTGTTCTGGCAGCGTGCTGTCTCGTTGTGACACCACAGTCGAATACTATACGCCTCGGCAGGGTCATCATGCGCTCACCTCCTTCAAGAGGGCTGCAATACTATCCGCACGGATACAGGCTGGCTTTGTGGTAGCTCAAGAGGCTCGTGAGAACGATGAAGATTGCTGAGAAACAGATAGTGCAACGAACGGTTTTGGTCGTTGCTTCCGATGCCGCGCAATCGTTCCCGTTCAGAGCTACCTTATGATGCTCTCATATTGAAGTCAGCGCTATGTACTAGATACGCAGTGGCGATCGCGACTCGAGAGGAGATGCTCGTTGAGATAGATCGGCTTGGGCGCCGGACCGCTGGGTTCTGCTGTCGCGTCGAACCTACGCCCTGAGTTGGCCCCGAGCTACAAGATAACGTAGGCCTGTAGCGCTCGGCTCTCGCATTAGAGCTCAGCAGTCACCCACAACATTGAACCGAAGTATCTTTGCAGCATGACCGGGAGATCTACCTGGGCAATTGGGGATCCAGTGGCGTTTCGATATCGAGCTCCGAATCCTCATACTTGCGCGCGCATACTTGCGTCCGCATACTTGCAATTACCCGTCGGCGTGCTTACGAGCGCTCTGACTGCTCGAACAACCTGCGCATCACCTATGCCAAAACTTGCTGCGCCTCGCTATCCTTCCATTGGATTCGTGGTAACGTTCTGACTCGAGCAAAGGGCAAAGGACCTGGCCACATCTTCGTCTGGCAGTTGGCATATGTGATCTCAGGACGCTCGTTCAATGGCCTTGGACGATTCTCATCCTAGCAGCAAGCGTGTGTCAGGCTTGATGAAGCTTGCTAGCCATTGCCAGTTCTAGCAGACAGCGAGCGCACTCTAGCACACTTGCTCAAATATTGTCTCGAGCATCCCTCTGCTTGAAGATCTAGATGCTCAAGATTGAAGCTGATATTACGTGATATAGGTCAAACACGCTTGTGAGGCCTCAATGCTCTTTGTACAAGAGAAGGGCCAATCGGCTTCGACTCGCAGAAATCTTCCGGTGTTTAGATGCGCGAGATGTGCGGGATTATGGTGGCCCAATGTCTGGCAATTTTCAGTGACTACAGGGCATGATGAGAGGGTCACTGATAATACAAAGCTATACAGAATTGCAGACAGTAGCTACAAAGAGACCATACTAGCGCTTTGAGGGGCCGGAAAGCGATAGCAGACGATCTGAAAAATGCTTCTCACATCGATCCACATCGATCCTCACCCCGCACCTTTCCACCCACCTCACTGGCTCTTTGAGCTCAACGGGGCAGTCCTCCATAAGTGGACAATTCCAAACGCCCCAGTCTGCTCATCGCCTATCTCTAATGCTATTTTCTCTGTCTGAGGCCTGAGTGCTCGCATACTCTGCAATCATGGCATGACGTTCGAACTGCCTTTATAAACCGGGTCCGCCCACTCGCTCGCATGTCACATCTCATAAACGTCTCCGATCCCAATGCAAGACCTTGTCAGCCATCATACAGATCTTGCGCTGCTACAGCAGATTGCAGTACGACATCATATTCACGAGANCGCTGCNCTGAGTTTCGATGCCTTAGTAACAGTCGTCAACGCATGGAGTCGCTGTCTGATTGGCCCATACTGTAGCAAAAGGACTACTGCGCCTGCTGCGGTCACGAAGACCGCATGAGACAGGCTACGTGTGGAGAAGGCCCTTTTAATCCGTAGGTGGCCAGTGCCACCTCCAGAGGCAATTCACCACACTCGCAGTCCTAAACGTGGCAGTGCGCCAGACATACAGCATTCAGTACCTAGTCATCAAAGCAAGATAGTATGCTCTACATATTCCATCATCAGCAGCCGGATTCTGCGCAATGACGCGAGGCGCGCTCGGACCTCGCCTCGTTCGAGATCAGGAGCGCCCATCGAGAGTCTCTCTGAATGATCTCCTCGGCACTTGTCAGCCTCTGGGTATTCCCTGAGCTCTACTTTGCTGGCCCTCTCAGAACACAAAACCGTCCGAGGACGTTCTGCAAATGGTTTAACAAGCAAGCGGTATAGATCTAATCATCCATCACTTCACAGCCATCACTACCACCTCATCACACTAGCATCGCATTCGCATCACAATGAAGGTCACGCTCAGCTTCGTTCTCTCGGCTCTCGC